AATGTTGCGCTTGCGCCCGAATCTTCTCGAACCAGTGGAACGAACCATTTTGCAATGGTTCGTAGTAATTTTTCTCGTATTTTTCCATCTTTGCGGATCGTGATGTAATGCGATCTGATAACCATATTCATCGATTTTTCTCCAGACGGCGGGAAAAAACAATTGTGCGACGTTATTAAGCAGAAAAAAATCGGGATGCATAAAAAACGCAGGGAGATGTTAGGGCATCCACACGCACGGACAATCATTGCTCTGCAGATTACACAGGCGATGAAATCACCGAGAAGTTGCGAGGAAAATAGAGTAAAGGTCACTGAATGCCGCAATTTCACCGTCTTTTTCGGATTTTCTCATAAAAAACTTGCGAAATTTTTGTTTTTGTTTTTGCCTCACATCACCGTAATGCTTGTACTTTTCATCGACTGCATGGAGAGCAATTCTGGTAGAAATTACTCTGACATCCAACGAATTTGTATTAATCATTTTTATCTCTCACTTCTTAGTGGCAAATTTTATTGAATATTCAGGGGAATTTGAAAATTTTGAACCAGTTGAAAAATTCACGAACTTACTTGAATTTTTAATCATTTCAAAATTCAATAATAATTAAATGAATTCCCCGGACTTCCCTGATTTTTCTTAATTTCCATGAAATAACTGAACAAAATTTTACAATTTCCACGGTTTTATCATGAAATTGTGAATTGTCAACGGCGAAATTTCTCGAAATTTCAGTGGAACTGTCACTTGCTGAAACTTCCCAAGAAATTTTAGGCAAAAATTGTCAGTAGCGATGAAAAATTAGATATGATTCTGCAAGCATTTTGTTCATACCTGACAGTACAAGATAGATTGAACAAATTTCGGAATGTTTCCGTGCCATTTGAATTTAAATCAAATTACAGAGCCGATAAATGGGAATTCCATGGTATCGGTGCACCTGTTGAATTGTAGTTAAGGGGCTGCCACCTGCAGGTGAACTTCCCAGCTTCCCGGTATGCGCAAGCAACAGGTGTAACATGTTTCACCCTGAGACAATAGTTGATAAGGCAGAATCCTCCGTGTAACTCTCTAACTTCAGCACCCGGTGCCAATTCAACGATCCCTGAAGAATAATTTCAACTGCACGGAGAGGAATATTCAGTAAAAATTACGGAACAATTCACGTAATCCGCAATAGGGAATCGTTTACCGGTAATTTTTATAGGAGTAGAAAAGAAGAAATCTGAAACGTTCAGTGAATTCTCAGGTTCATCACCGAACAAAGTACGAATTGTCACGTAATTTTTCCCGAAGAACTAAAATCTTACAGAAACTTGCCGACTTATTATGCCTCCAAAATCAAAAATTCTTGAACGTTCAACAATTTTTATGAAGCTGGTGAGTTATTTCTACGTTCTGTTCCGTAAAATTTCTCAATCATTGGGGAAAAATTACGAAACGACTTGTTGTCCCCATAATGGTTAATTTTTACGGAACAAATTGTAGAAGTTACGTGGCAATTCGTACAATTTCACTTCCGACTTATACTTTTTAATGAATTTTACTTCGCTCGCGTATTACGTTTCGAAACGTAATTTTTACGTTTTTTTCCTGGTAATTTTTATTGAATTTTTCTCTCCGTGTAATCATCCCTGTATTGTGTGAAAACAGTGTACGATTTTTTTGTAGGGTTTCTATAGAATTTTTTTCATAAACAGATGTTTTTATGATTCAAAAAATTAACGTTAAAAACCATTCGCTAAGCAGCGGCAGCATATTGTTTGCGCAGTATTTTTTTTCAAAATTAATTTTCTCATGGCTGAAAAAATCATCAACAATATCAATTTAATTATAGCTTCAAAAATTTTCTTCGATGTCTTAATCCAGGATTAATTCAGGATTAATGCCCCTCTTGAAAAAGGCGTTTACCCAGGGCTGGAGCATTTTTCCAGGGTTTCATTGCACTCGCTCATAATAATTTCGGCTGAGATGTCAGGGTCGTTATTCACCAATAATTGCCTTCAATCTCCGTGCATGAATGACCTTCAAGATTACGAATCCCAATCGTGCAAATAGTACAGCGAAAACATATTTGTTCCACTGAGCCCGCTATCACATTCTTGAGAGATACATGGGAAAGATATTAATTGGAGATTGACCTCCCGTGATTTTTCCAGAAGGCTAGAGAAATGCGAGACAACTGAACCAATAATACAGAAATCGAATCGATTAATTGATTATCATTTCGTAATCCCCTGATTTTGGATCGATCACAATCGTATTTTTGGTTCGAGAGGGTGTAAGTGGGTTTGTTGCACATCTGGATCGTTCGATCGTTGATTGCTCTCAGCCCGATAGAATCAATGGAATTTTCCGCACTCTCGGCAACTGAAGTGTCCGGTCGCCCAAAGGTAGTGATAGTTCACTTGTTTGGATTCCATTTATTAAAAAACAATTTGTTTTTCGATATGATTAAATTGGAATTATGCTTAAGGACAATTTTTCACTTCGACAGATTCAAAAACTTATTGTTTGCTTTGATTCACATAATGATTCATCCCAAGTTCGAGTTCTCCCTCGTCCATGCCACGATTATTTTCCACTGTTAGACTGATTCATTTATTCCAAACGAGATTCGTTAATTATTAACGAATAGTAGAGTTGAATGAGACCAAATGAATATTCGTTAATAGTTAGAACAAGGCTCCTCAAATATACATTTGTTAACTATTAACGAATGAACATTTGGTGAGACCGAATAGACCCTCGTCTCCAACCAAATCCATTCGTTAACAATGCCTAATCCTTTCTGTCAGTGCAGAAGTGAAAAAACAAGTGTTCATTATTTTTTCAAAGTGACTAATCCAATGTCGAGATTTTAATTGCTGATAACTTCTGCTTTAAGAGATTGATTAAGATAACACTTTCGGGCGTGGGGGGTATTTCAGTATAATCATCCGTTCTGCATAATGGCCTCCACCTACTTGACTTTACCGTGTTTACTGTTTACGGAAAGCTGTTATTCCAATATTGAGATTTCAAGTGCTGATGATAATTGTTTCAAGATATTGAAAAAGCCGGAGTCGAGTATTTAGGCCTGAAAAGTCCGGGAGGCGACAGCTGAATTATTCTAGTCATGTCCCTTTTAGAAGTTTTCCAGCTTTTCCAGGGGTTCGGGTAAATGACTGCTGTCCACTTCAATATCAAGATTCGATTATAACGAAATGAAAAATCGTTTCTAAAGAATAAAACTATTATACGAATCAAATCTCCGTAATCTCCGGATTTTAAATAGTTAAATAGTTGAATTATAGCCGACTAGATCGGTGATAGAAAACGTTGAATGGATTTTTTTAAAAGGAAAAAAATTCCGGGGAATTATCTATTAAGAATGTATAGACGAGAGGGGAATTACGGGAGATTTTTAATCATATGTTTAGTCAGAACGACGTAATCGACTCGAGCAACTCCTTGAGAACCCCGAAAACCTCGTGAACGAAACATCTAGAATAAATCAGTCAGTACTTTTTGGATTCACAGATAATATTTTTCTAATCTCTTTCTTTATCTTTAAAATCTCCCAGAGAATTAGGGGATTCCTTAGATAGAGGAAAAATAACATAAAATTTGATTTGTCAGATCGTAAGACACTCGTTGAATCAACACTAGATTGTAGACGTGAACCATAACAACTGCGAATGAACTAACACCTTTCAACAAATGTAACGGATTTATCGTTCGGAGGAGCATTGGTGATGGAATGATTTCGATAAGACTTCAATCGCAGTGAACTCATGCCCCGGAAAACTCGAGCCCCTGTATTCCCTCGTCACGTTATCTATCGACCTTTCATTCTAAAAATAGGATGCGTCATACCTGTACGCGTGATAAACTCGAATCATCCCATTGTTGCAGACAACTGGCAATTTTTCACTGTCATTATGGCATCACGTGCTGCGGTTCAATCCGCAGGATAGTGTGCAAATTTTCATGAAGCATCATTTAATCACCTCCAAGTATCCCATTTGCGAAATATTTGATCATCTTACCATCAATTTTTCATCTACTCAAACAATTGTGAAATTAGCATATTGAATCCATCAGTGAAATGGCAAAAAACGGGAATAAACTAATCCATGGACGAAAAAATTTCATAGAAAAAACTAGTGAATTCCACAGGAAATTTTATTGAATTTCTACTGAACTTCTACTGAAAATTCCATTAGTTTTTTGCCAATCGAAGAATTCCATTGATTTACTGCGCATTTTTTTAATGGAAAATGTCCATTAGAAACTATTCTATCGAAACATTTAATACTTAGAAATAAAATAGCAACTATTGCATTTTCTATAGAAATTCCCCGAAATGAATTTTTCAATTTGTTTCCATTCTTCGCTGTTCATCGGAAAAATCAAACAAAAACAAATTATTTCTATAGAAAATTTCTCAATAGCTCAAGTTGCATAGAAAAATTCAATTCTATTTTTTTCCATAGAAAGCACGCAGATAAGCTGCGGAATTTTTTAATAGAAAAATGTAACGAATTGTCTAGCCCATTCGCTACATTTTTCTATAGAATATCTTCGCACCTGTGAACAAGTCAAAAATATGCTTCAATAGCAAAAAAATCAGACAAAGTCCTCACTTTTCCGCACTTAGCATTGACCGCAAATACCGAGCGGAAATGTCAATTTTCTCTATTTGCCCTTCCCCTTAATTAGCATAAGCAACCCATCGTCTCTTCGTATTCATATCAGCTGCTAACTCTCCTATACATACTCATTTACTCGGGATTTCCCAGTAAAAATACCTGTGTTTATTCAGAAATTTGCGTAGTTCAATAACAACTCGAGGAGTTCCCCACGTGCGTCTGTGTGTACCAATTTCACGGATTCGCCGGCTAATCTTGACTCACCAATTCTGACAGACCGAGTCTCTGATTGGACGACGCCTGTCGACACCGCCGCGACTGCAAGTATTTAATAGCCGATTGTAGTGAGCAAATCATCATTCGATTCTGAGCTTCAGTGAGCTAGACACTTTACCTAATAATTGTAAAAAATGATGCGCAAAGTTATCATCTTCGCAGTTGCTATCACGGGTGAGTCATTGCAGTATCAATTGTAGTTCAGCTTAATAACAATCATTATCATGATAATCATCCATTAACACGGTAACTTAAGTGTGATTTTCAATTTTTCTTCATTTTTGGAGGAATCAATTTGCTTTAAATTAATAACAATTACTCATGCATTGATGAATTCTTAGTTACAAATTTAATTCCATTGCATTTATGGACCTTATGTCCAAAGAGATGTAACCGCATTTGTATTTTCGTATTGTTTTTTATTTTTTCTAATTTTTTTGAATGGAGTATAAAATAAATGTTTAAAATAAATTTTTAAAAAACAAAGAGATGACGCGTTTAGACCGAATGAAATGAAATTAAATCTGTGATTTGATTAATAAAATCATGATGTATTTATTTCAATTAAAACTTTTCAATTGCAAATAAATTCTCTATTGCAATTAAATGAAGATTATTACATGTTGATCGATTCGGTTATTTCGCTGCCTAAACTAGAGAGCAAACTCGTTAATCCAGAGATTAAAAATTTTGCAATTGATTATCGGATCGTCGCGTAGTTTTAGCATTACCAAAATTCCAAAACTGAAGTCCTCTGAAATGATATATTATTTTCAGTGATTGCCGCGGAGTATCATGATCCGAGCAAAACACCGTGCGAGCCTGGAAAAAAATTCATGTATTACTGCAACCAGTGCGCCTGCAGTCCGGACGGTAAAGGCGCCGCTTGCACCAAAATGATGTGCCCCCCCGGCCTCTTCAATGAAGACGGATCCTTGAGGGTGCCAACTCCACCGAGGGAGAAGAGAGAAGTTCTGGAACGTGCGTATCTTCTTCATCACGCACGAATAAAATTTCAATAAAATTTCAAAAACCCAGCGAAATTCGTATAAAATTCTATTGAACTTCTATTGAAATTTTTATTAGTTTTTGGTCGATTCTGTTCAAGAATTCCACAGCTTTATTGCGCGTTCTTTATCGAAAATATTTAAGAGAAACTATTCTACAGAACAATTCAGCAGAATTTCAACTTGTTCTACAGAAACTCCTCGACATGCATTTTCTAATCTTTTGTCGGTCTATTTTTTTTCTCTTTTCATTAAAAAATCAAATGAAAAAACATTGAAAATTTGAGCCGAGGATTTTCTATGAAGAATATCTCAATAGAATAAGTAATGTAGAAAAATTGAATTCTATTGATTTTTCTAGTAAAATATTTTCAATTGAATATTTTCTTGCGAATTCGTTAGGTTTTCCGATAAATTTATTTCAGAAGTGATATCTTCCGGACTCATCTAATATCATTCAACTGCATTCAATGCCATTACAACCATTTTTCACTTTATTTATATTATTTTTAATTTATCACTTTGATAGTGCCCGCTGATGGAAGTTGCATTGCGGGACGAGCATACAGAAGTGCCTGCAACTCTTGCCAGTGCATCAGGGATAACCTGCCAATCTGCACATTGAAAGCCTGCCCGCCCTAATCGGCGATACTGCTCTGAGAAGCTGGACGCAAAGGCCTGGGAAACGTGAGTATCTTCTCCCTCCTGATAAGGTCTCGATAAGGAATTCTTTCCCACATTTCTTAATCTTTTCGTGATTATCGGTTATTGTTGTGGCAACTTTTTAGTGATGAATATTGACGGCGTAATTCGATTTACGCTGACGCAAATCTTTTCATTCTTTGTTAAAATTTTTTGGATGAAATTTTACGGGTCACTTTTTGGAAATTGTTATCACATTATAATTCCACTCAACTTGCCGGGAATTTCGTCTTTAAAATTTCAGTGAAATCTGAAATTTAAGGATTTTTCCCCTCTCAATCGAATTCAATGTCATTCTTCCGAAAATTACTACCAAAAGATAAAATTTCATACACCGGTCGATGAAATTTCATTTTTTTTCCTAATTTTGTACTATTCTGCAAGAATGAAGAATAGTACAGAATGAGGAAATGAGGAATGAGTTTTCAAGATTTTCTATTGCGACGCTTTCCTCCCGATTTCGCTGGAAAAAATCCGCAAGTTGTACAATTCCCCTAATTTATTGATGAAAATATATTTTCTTTTTACAGAAGTCGCCGGGGTCATGACATGCACAGGAAGCTCGATAGATGCGTAGAACGAAATAGAGTATTGATAAGAAAATTATAAAAATTGATCTGCGCGATAAGTTATTCTCACCGAGATTCTACACATAATCGGATCTTGACGAGCATTTATGCGATATTTTTAATAGTGTAAAGAGTGATTATTTCTAATTACGTACAATTCCGGGTGAATGCAAATTGTTGAATGATAATAAAGGTGATGATGATTTTTTGGAACAAATCAGTGTTTATTTCTTACACTTTTCTCCTACAATTCGACGATCCCTATCCGTTTTTTATCGCGTCCGTCAATTGTTATGAAGAGAAAATTAATCAAAAAAATATTAGATTCAATATCAAACAAATCTCTCGTTTATTAAATATTTAAATTGAATAATTCTATTGAAAATTGAACGATCCACCAAAAGAGAATATTTTCATTTTCGCATATAATTTAATGTCTAAAATATACATTACCTCAAGTTAATTTCACTCATTCATCCCCACGATATTATAGTAAATCTGTTGTAAATTCAGTGAGTTATAATTATTAAATGAGAAAAATATCGTGTGCGAACTGATTAATATTTATAAATATACGAGAATGGCTCATACTACTCGAACGATTGTCAATGAATTAAATCTGTTCAACGCCCGAGTATAGCGAAAGAGAGGCCGGACTGATCATCATCGGCAAAACCATCATCGTCCACTTTATTCCAGCGCCTTACTTCGTTTTTTACGGAGATTATTGATGGCGCGAAGGTATAACTGATAGTGTCATTACATGTTCAAACATAATATTGAAATCTCGATAAACATCACGTAGTGGTTCTCTAATCGTTGCCAAATTTTCGGCGAAGTCACGTAGAAACTGTAATATCTGTATGCCAGTGCGTGCTGATTCCTGAATAACTGCCAAAAGCCAAAACTGCTAATCGAGGTTCTTCAGATACTTTAACACCAGAAAATCTGTTTTTATGGACTTCGGTTCCACTTGATACACCAAATAAAACAATGGCAGTTCAAAATGTGTTTTTTGGCTTCTCAATAGTCTTTACAAAATACAACTCAAATTTAATGACTTGAGAACCCGGCGCGGTGTCCATGAATCTATGAAAATGCCTAAAGAAAATAAAATATCCTTCAGATGCATATTATTACAACGATATTACTCTTCTACTCTCTTATTACTATCTCGGAATTGCAATTTAAATAGATCGAACTCAATGTTGTGGTTCGAAAAGGGCTGACTCACTTCCTCCCGCAAGAAATCACTATCTCAGCGGAAATTTGGAAGACGTAATAAAAATGGAGAAGGTAAACAGTCAATTGTGGACAGTTGAAAATTTGTCAATTTTTAGGAATATATCCGCAATTTTCAGGAATTGATATCCAATTTTTAGGAATTTATCTCAACTTTCTAAAGGCTCTTGACACTAAACAGAACGATCATTGAATTTTCAAAATTTCTGAGATTCCATTTTTTTACTCTTATGATTATGCCCCTGAAAATTGATAACGAAATCGCGTAATTTTCGGACTTCTCACTCTCATTTGATTTTTCCGAGAACTTTCCAGAGAGTTTCGACCGGTCCTCCAATGCTCTATAATTTTCGGTTTATCCGGGTGCAAACGTGATGATAAAACAAAGAGATTCGCAAGTGCGTACGTGTGTAATTCCCCTAAATTCGCAGATAATATAAATAAATTCTGACACGTTGAGGCACGTCGAGGCTGCAAGTATTTAACGAGCGCCCTTTGACAGAAAATCATTACTCGATTCTAAGCTTTATTCAGCTAAACAGCTGAGCGATAAAATAATTTATTCAATAAATTAAAAAATGATTGTTGAACCCGTCGTTCTCGTAGCGGCTATCTTGGGTAAGTCCAGTATTTTAGAATACTTCGACATACCAATGATTATTACATTAAATTTTATTCCAATGATAATTACTTGGTACTGTTTTATCAGTGAATGTGTTCAAACAATGTTCCAACTTCTAATTTATTTTGCAGCCGTTGTCACTTCTAGCCAGAGCTTCAGCATCGGTGCGCGGCCGGAAGTCGTGATATTCAAGGGTGAGTTACTATTAAAATGACAAAAAAATCCCAACATAACAATCATTACGATTATAATTAATAGCCAAAACGTTAACTCAACCTGAATAACTTTCCTCCAGAGACTGAAATCGACCCGGAAGTCATGATTGTGGAAAAAGCAGGTGGGTTACCATTTCAAATAAGTCATTACAATCTCCATATTCTTTTTCAATTTTGGTTGAATCCCAATTTTTGGTACAACTTCCGACTGCTCATTCTCGCTGCGCAATGATTACAGAAATTTCGCAGTTTTGTTTTTCCTCAGCTCAACACTGAGAAAAAAATTACTTCTGCCAAGTAAATTGAATTGCCATAAGTAAATGTATATAAATATTTGCATTTGAAATGTGTGGATTTTCTTGTAGTTAGTAAATTTACTTGGCAAAAGTATTTTTTTTTCTGAGCGAACAAAGCCGCGAATTTGGAGAATGTGCACCTCATAGCTCAATCCTTCCGCAATATTTACTTTCCACTAAAAGTAAAGAATAGACAATTTTTCTGCAATATTTATTCACTCCATGTGACGTATTAGCTAAATTCCTCAAAGATCATCGTCTTCCGCGTGACAGAATACTTAAAGTAATCCCATCTCTCCCAGACAATTGATCAAATTTTGCTGGACCGTTTAATGAATGACTAAAAGTTCGATTCAGCTTGAGTATTTTTTTCCCAGCTGAACTCAGCGAAAGTGAATCCCCATCTGAAAATCAACAGATCCAGAAGCTTGTAGAAGGTATGGACTATCTCCTCATTTTTCATCAATTTTAGTCGAATTCGTTTGACTGATGAGTCAATGACATCCATTGATAATGATAATAAATAACCAAAATGTTGACTAAATTTGAATGTTTTTCCTCAGTCGAAATAATCAGCGGGAGTGGTTCCTCACCCAGCGGATCTGGAAACCTACGCGTCTATGAGGTCGCGGAAAGTATGTGCCATCGTCATTTTGTTCTTCAATTTTAGTAGAAACTCTCTAATTCAGTACACTAAATGATTTGCCATCGCGAATGGGTGAATTATATTCGTTGATAATGATAATGAATGATCAAAAGGTCAACTAATCTTAAATGTTTTTCTCCAGCTGATCCAATCAGCGGGAGTGGTTCCTCATTCGGTGGATTTGGAAATGTACCCGTCTATGAGATTGCGGAAAGTATGTACCATCGTCATTTTGTTCTTCAATTTTAGTAGAAACTCTCTAATTCAGTACACTAAATGATTTTCCATCGCGAATGGGTGAATTATATTCGTTGATAATGATAATGAATGATCAAAAGGTCGACTAATCTTGAATGTTTTTTCCCAGCTGATCCACTCAGCGGGAGTGGTTCCTCATTCGGTGGATCTGGAAATGTACACGTCTACGAAGTCGCGGAAAGTATGTACCGTCTCCATTTTGTTCTTCAATTTTAGTAGAAACTCTCTAATTCAGTGCACTAAATGATTTGCCATCGCGAATGGGTGAATTATATTCGTTGATAATGATAATGAATGATCAAAAGGTCGACTAATCTTGAATGTTTTTTGCCAGGCAATATAATCGGCGGGAGTGGTTCCTCATCCAGCGGATCTGGAAATCTAGACGTCTATGAGATTGTGGGAAGTATGTCCATCTCCATACACCTAGAAAAAAAATTCGAATATCTGAAACATTTCCTTGAGACAAGTAATTTGTCTTCAATTGTTTAATTGAATACTTTGCGACAAGTATGATTTTGTCGCAAATGAACTCATTCAAGTCGCGTAGAAGAATTGCCAATCTTCAAGTATTTTTTGTTTTCAGGATTTTTTTGTTATGCAGTTGCGATATTTCGCTATGTAATATGTTCATGATATAATGCGCAACGATAGTGATAAATGAGAATTCATTCGAGTCTTGGGAACCGCAAGATTCTGAGATTTAGACCATTGAAAATAATTTACTTCTCTCAAGTAGATATGGTCTACGTATTAGGAAATTTTTCTCTCAGTGTACGCTGAGTGATTTTCCATCGAGGATGAGTCAATTATATTCATCATTCATAATAATGAACAACCAAAATATTGACGGAATTTAAATGTCTTTTTCCAGAGGGTGTAGTCAGCGGGGGCGGGTCCTCATCCGGCGGATCAGAAAATCTACAGGTCTACGAGATTGTGGGGTGTACGTAGCATCTATTGATTTTTCGTTAATTTTTGGAATGAGTTTCCAGCGTGGACGGTTCATTTGACTCGTAACAATATTCGCATTAATAATATTTATAATTATAATCGATGACTTTTCCCCAGACGGTCATCTCCACGGGGCCTCATCCGACGGATCGTCCTGGAAGATCATCGAGTTGAGTTGATGTATGTGCCATCTATGTGCATTTTCGTCATTTTATGTAAACGATAATTGGTTGACAATTAATAATAACCTGCCTCGGCCCATCTTGGTCAAGTCCTCCTTCTACAATTTTTTTTTAAATTTGCATCACATTTTATGCAGGCTTCATTGAAAAAAACTAATTATTGTAGAGTATTTCTGACTTGTTAATGATTATGTGTTTTGGTTTTACAGAAACTACTAATGTGATGAACCTGCTATAACTGGAAAATGCTGTCGAGGACTTCTCTCCCACAAACTGTATTCACCCATCGATATCTTTCCAATTCGGAACGAGAAAATCTAATTTATTATAAACATTGTGAATTGAAAATGGGAGAATAATAAATTTCATTAAATTGAACAATTGAACAAGTGATAATTCTGACTGATACCCTAAAACATAATTGAGTCGCACGAAATGTGGGAAAGCACTCCCGTCCGCAATGATTATATACGGATCTAGCGGGAGCTATTAACTGTCATGAATCTGAGAAAACAAAATTTTTGAATTCCTCAAGATTTAGGATTGATCCAATACCACTGAAATTAATTCTGTAGCAAAATGGTAAACTGGGGTAAGTGCAAAAAGGGATTTTTTTCAGGAGAGTTGAAAAAATTGACCACGTTTGAGAGAAATTTCGATTCAAGCCATAGAAAATTTTTCTAAAAAATGCATTTATCCTAGTTTACCACTTCGCTACAGGATTTTAGGTGAGAATCAGGATGAGTATCACAGATCTGTGGGTAGACGATAAACACCGAAGAAAATGAACTAATTATTGTAGTAAACTCCAAACGATTGATAATCGAATTTCAATGGATTGATTTTCTGAAAAATCATCCATTTGTAAATTAAATATGAAATTTCGAATGTAGAAACTGAATTCACGAATATTGAAAGAAGCCAGACCGAGTCCCCCATCCTGTCAGTGGAATATACAAACTCCTGTCAGACCGTTTAACCGAAGGAACCGAATAAAACCAAATGAAGCTGAAAAATAATTACTGCGTTACGGAATTTGAATTATTTGGACACCCAAAAGCCGAAGGAATTGATATTTGTGTCACTCTCAGATTGACAATATTTTAAATTTACCTGCAATACAACTGTGTTCGTAAATTTCATTTTGAGAATAACACACGGAGAGAAATGTTCAGTAAAAATTATGGAACTCACAATTCGCTGACCGATTACGGAATCGACTCAGAAAATTTAATTCAGAGAGATTCAGATAAAAATTACGGAACGCTCTGGAAAAATTCCGTAACAGTTCCGTAAAATTCCCTACAACCAGATTTCGCTCCGGAATTACGGAAAATATACGTAATTTTTATTGAATATTTCCCTCCGTGCACCTTGGCACCATGAAAAGTTTAATACGTGACGATACCTACATGAAAATTGGAAACACGTATCAACTTATCAGAAATTGGAGTAAGTGCACGGAGAGAAACTTTTGATAAAAATTATCCTCCCGTTCTATAAAAGTGTATCATGAGTCATCGTTTCCTCATTTCTATCCCGAAATTTAGTAAAAATTAATATATGATGATCAAATTTTATTCTACGTTAGAGAAATTTTATTCTGATAAAAATAAAAATTACTGTGCCGGCAGAGTAAAAGTTACTGTACCGGTAGGATACAATTTACCAACCGTTCTAGAATTTTTGTTGTTATCTACATAAAAATTATTGGACTGGAAGGGTAAAATTTGCTATGCGTCAGGATAAAATTTCTCAAACGTAGAATATAATTTGATCATCATATATTAATTTGTACTATAAATGTCGGGATAGAAATGAAACGATGACTCATGATACACTTTTATAGAACGGTAGGATAATTTTTATCAAAAATTTCTCTCCGTGTGGTACGCAAGATATAGCTCGCACATAAATGAAGATGAGTGTAAATCGACTCTTGCTCTCTTCTTTGGTTTGCGCCTCCATTGCGGCTTTCCATTTAGGGGACCAAATCACTTCTTTCATACCGATTCACTCACATCGTCCTCCAGATAAGTGCGAATATTCAATGATATTCCATTTGAACATAAACAACGACGCAAAGACAATCAACAATTTCTGAGCCAGTGGAATACCTGAATCGCATTTGGCTCTCGCTCAGTCAATTATTGAGATGGAGAATCAAATTGACACGGATTATGCTTCATGTGATGTACATAATCGAAATGAAATGCGAATTGAAGATGTGAACACTGATAAGAACAACTTGCGTTGATATTCGCCGAATTCATCCGTGATTTTGCTGGAAAATTTGTGGGAACCTCCGAGTAAGCAATGTCGGATAACATTCGGTTTATCCAAACATAATCATATCACATACCAAACATAATGTATCAATCCCACTGATTCCCCAGATAATCTTAACTCGCATATTCTGACACGTCGAGCGTGTGATTGGTTCTCTTCCATCGACAACGCCGAGGCTGCAAGTATTTAATAAGGGTCCTTCGACGAGTGAACAGCACTTGATTCTAAACTTCAGTGAGCTAAACTATTTCGTACAAAATAGGATCTTCTTTATAAATCCCAAAATGTTATACAATGTCATCGTTTTCGCAGTTGCCGTCTCGGGTGAGTCCACTATATTGATAGTATCGCGACAATTATAATGTTGAGTAATAATCGAAATGACGAACAGGGGGGAGGGGAGGCGTCTACCCCCTGAGCCGCGGAAACACATTTGAGATGGAATAGGAATGAAAATTTCGAAATTCCGAAATTAATAGTCACGATAATACACGGAGAGAAATTTTTCAGAAAAATTCTAGTGCTAGCACGGGAAAAGAGGCGCCAAGTGACGGTCAGGAAAAAATTCCAGTGCCGGCACTGGAAATTTTATTGGGAAAAACGTGAATTTTTCCTCGTATTTCTGTAAATATTTCACAGAAATCCCCAGAAATTTTACCAGAAATACCAAGAAATTTTACCTTAACAGCACCAGAATTTTTCACAGCCGGTGGATTGTGATTTTTTCCAGTACTCGTACTAGAATTTTTCTAGAAAATTTCTCTCTGTGTAGCTCAAAAGTCTACTTTATTCATTAATTTTCACTGCAAGGTTCCGAGTTCAAATCCTGGTCGGGTAGAATGGGGAGATCCAACCATTTTTAGTCCTGATCATCATCGCAATCTACTCAAGCGAGTCGAAGTGATGTAAAATAACAATAAAAAAACAAAAAATTGTCATTCTACTTCCTAGTCAAAAGAATCAATTTTCGAATCACTAACACAAATTACTGATTTAATCAGCAACAATTGAAAGTTTTTTTTCTCTCACAATCAATTTACCAATCATTGATTATCAATGATTTCTTTCTACTATTGTCAATATTTTTTTTGTTTATGTAAACCTTCCGATGTGATTTTCAGCCGCTGCCGGATACGACATTGTTTATGTCGAAAGTCCTAGTAAGTTACTGTTACGAATGAGTCACATACATATATTAATCATTTTGATAATTAACAACCGAAACGTCAGTCTAACTTGAACGATTTTTCCTCTAGACGAAGAATTGAACGGGGATGAGTTCATGGTTGGCCAATTTTTTCAAGGTACACAAGAGACGCCGGAGGGGAGTGTTGTATACGAGAAAGCGGGTTAGTTGCTGTTAGAAATAAGTCATTCAATTACGAACATATTTCAATATAACAATTATTGACAAGACGGTTGTTAATAACCGCAAAACCGATTTAATCTGGATGGCTTTCCCCCAGGCGGTCAATTCGGCAGGAATAACTATTTACCAGATGGATCTAACATTGCCCACCATACGTTCGTAGAGTGTATGTATCAACTATATATTTATAGTTTCCGGTCATTCCGGGCAAATGAATTTTACTCACTACACTAAGTGAATATGTTGAGTAATGATGAAAATACTCACTGAATTTAATTAATTTTCCCCTAGACGGTCAATCTACGGGGGATGAGCTTCCTCCGCTTCTATCAAGCGGATTCCCGATAAATAACTTCCAACCACCGCCAGTGAGAAACCATTTTCTCACAGCACACGGTAAATTGCCATTACTTATAGTTGCATAGTCCTTCAACTGTGCGGAATATTCCAAGATAACAAGCATTGTAATGATGATTCATGATTGAAATGTGCACTGTTGAAAATTTTTGTCCGAAATTTTCGGTACACTTTTTGAAAATTTCTGTCGAATTTAATTGCCACTGAAATTTCAAGGAACTTCGTCATTGAAAATTCAGAATTTTGTGGAAAAATCAAAGAGAACTATCAATTTAAGTTTTATTTTTCCCTGAAAATGAATAGAAAACCAGAAAATTCCGATAAATATATTCTTGAATATTTGGACAGTGATACTGAATGCGATTTAGGGGGAAATTTAATGTAATTTGACACTGAATATTCACGTTAGATTGGGAATTCAAATAAATTAAGAAATTTTCGTTTTTGTGCCGCTTTAAATTCTGGAATTTTACTAAATCGCATTCAGCGTGACTGTCTTGAAAATTAGTAGTCATCTGTCCATGAAATTTCATTGTTTTTCTAACAGTGCAATACACTAAGTGAATTACCATCGTAGATGGATCATTCGACAGTTATTGATCCTCCAATATTATGAGTACCGATCAAAATATCCACTGAAATTGACTAATTATCCCCTAGACGGTCGATCTACGGGGGATGGGCTTCTATCAAGCGGATTCCCGATAAGTAACTTCCAACCACCGCCAGTGAGAAACCATTTTCTCACAGAACACGGTAAGTTGCCATTACTTATAGTTGCATAGTCCTTCAACTGTGCGAAATATTCCAACATAACAAGCATTGTAATGATGATTCATGATTGAAATGTGGACGCAATGTGAAGGGTTTTCCCTGTTTGCGTTTTACCAACACTGTTGAAAATTTTTGTCCGAAATTTTCGGTACACTTTTTGGAAATTTCTGTCGAATTTAATTGCCACTGAAATTTCAAGGAACTTCGTCATTGAAAATTCAGAATTGTGTGGAAAAATCAAAGAGAACTATCAATTTAAGTTTAATTTTTCCCTGAAAATTAATAGAAAACCAGAAAATTCCGATAAATATATTCTTGAATTTTTGGACAGTGATACTGAAAGCGATTTAGGGGGAAAAAATTATGAAATTTCAAATTCCACTTGAAATTTACTGTAATTTGACACTGAATATTCACGTTAGATTGGGAATTCAAATAAATTAAGCAATTTTCGTTTTTATGCTGCTTAAAATTCTGGAATTTTACTAAATCGCATTCAGTGTGACTGTCTTGAAAATTAGTAGTCATCTGTCCATGAAATTTCATTGTTTTTCTAACAGTGCAGTACGCTAAGTGAATTACCATCGTAGATGGGTCATCCGACAGTTATCGATCCGACCAATATTATGAGTAACGATCAAAATATTCACTGAAATTGACTAATTTTACCCTAGACGGTCGATCTACGGGGCATGAGCGTCTCCCAAGCAAATCCGACATAAATAACATCCAACCGCCGCAAGTGAGAAGAAGAATTCGCACAGAACACAGTAAGTTGCCATTACTTGGGAATCCTTCAACTATGCGCAATATTTCAAGATAACAAGCATTATAATGATGATTCATGATTGAAATGTCGACGTAATTTGAATGGTTTTCCCCAGACCAGCAACCTAGCGGAAGTGGGCTCTCACCGAAAAATTCCAAAATCGGTAACAGCCAACTAGCGCCGGACGGAAGCCTTATTCTCAGAAATCTGAGTGAGTTATCCAATGATAAATGAGTCATTCAAATGTTCTCAATATTCCGCAATAGCAAAAATATAATAATACCGAATAATTAAAACATCGACTTAACTTGAATAACTTCCTCCAGACGTTCCACTCAACGAGACTCCCGGTGAACGAAAGATAATCGCTCTTGACCCGGTATCTGACGAAATCTATTTGATGGAAGAAAATAGTGAGTTCTCTATTTACGATGTTCCATTGTAACATTATAACAATTATAACAATGATATTTAATACTCGAAACACTGACTTGACTCGAATGATTTTCCCTCAGACGGTCAATCCCAGAAGGATTCTTCACCGGACAAATCCAGCAGGAACCTCTTTTTAGCCAAATTTCGAAGTGAGTTGCTGTCACCGAAGAATCATTCAACTATTCACCATATTTCAATATAACAATCATGAAAATGATAATCAATAACTGAAGCATGGATTTAACTTGAATGATTGTTCCTTAGACAATCAACCCCAAGGAACAGGGTCCTCACCACACGGATCAGACAGAGGAAGCGAATCTAGTAATTCAAGCAAGGCAGGTGGCGCTCAACCGGCAGAGGAGGAATACCTTTTAGTCGAAAAAGAGAGTGAGTAATTGTAACTCGTATATCAAATATGAAATCTAACAATATAAGGGCAGAGTAAATGATAAGCATAACATAAGCATTGCAAAACATATAATAATAATAATAATAATAATAATAATAATAATAATAATAATAATAATAACGAGTAAAAAAAAATACGGAGTCATTTCTCATCATTGAACTGTTCCGATAATTCCAATAAGGGAGCATTGAACAACTCGGTCACGCCATGAAGGGGGAGAGGGCTCGAATGCTGTGACGTCGTGTTTATATTTTTATTTTCTCATTTAATTAAAGAAAAAAATTAAATCGATACTTTTCTTTTCTGATTTTCAAACGAAGGGGAGATGAAGAATACAATGATTATCACTAGATGATGCGCATTACGCAGTCATCAGTTGTAATTTTAATGCTCTGATGTAAATGTTATGAGTTATGTGTATTTATTAACATTAAATCAAGAAAAAAATTCACGGCGCTTATATTCGATTTTTTCCTGACTTTTCATTTTAATTCCTGTTTATTCATTTGATTTTTCACATGAATCGAGAGAGGGGAGGGACGAAAATGTAAATAAAAGGGTGACGTAATTGTTGAATGCTCCGAAAAGAATAAGGATAATGATAATTAATAATCAAAACGTGGACTTCGCTTGAATGATTTTTTCTTAGGCGATCCATCGACCAGGAGTGAGAGCTTACCAGCCGGATCCCAACAGGATACTAATCAACTGTCAAAGGGGGAAAATATGTTAATGGAGAAAGCGTGTAAGTCGCCATCACCTCAGAGTCGTTCAACTATTGAAAATATCCTGATATAACAATCATCAAAAGGATTATTAATAATCAAAACATCGACTTGATTTGAATTGCTTGTCCCCAGCAAAAGCAGTGAACGAGAGCATACTTCCGAACGATGCGCATTGTCGACCTGGCGAAAAATTTCCGTATTACTGCAATAACTGTACCTGCAATGCATCTGGCAAAGGCGCCGCTTGCACTAGGAAGTTATGTCCTATCGGTGCTTTCAACCCAGACGGTTCCCTAAAAGTTAAAACTAAACCAAGCCAGACGTATGCTACGGTGAAGTGTATGTATCATCTATTCGTTTTTCGGACATTTTTATAATATCCATTTGATTCAGGAAACTAACACATACTTAGTACACTTCCATCACGGATAAATTATCAAACTTCCATCAATATCCCAATATAAGCATTACTATAATGATAGTTAATAAGCCGAATGTCGCCTTAATTTGAATGGTTTTCCCCTAAGACGTTCAAACCCACGAAAATTGGACATCAGCAAACAGATCTGAGATACCGCCGCAATCAATTGTGAGACGTATGTAGCATTCATTTACTTTGACCCAATGTACTTCACCTTTTTCCCAATTTTATTTTTATCCACAATAACCGTCATTGTAATGATAAAGAAAATAATGCCCTAGATGGTTATTTCACCGAGGAGCACACTGCAGCAGACGGATCCAAGAGAAAGGAGCATACGGTTATGGGATGTGGGTACCATCTATTAATTTTTCCCATATTGTCAGCCAAACCTTTCAATAGTCATAAATGATCCTCGATCACTCGCTGAATGAGCTCGGCGCCGCCCGTTATCGTTTTATTATGTTTTAGCGTATTTCTCGACGCTTAAAAATTCTGAAAAAAATAGAGTTCCTAGTTTAATCCTTTTATTGAGCGTTGGCGTTGTCCGTTTTTTTCTCGGGAAATTTATTTAGCTAAAAAAAAAGAAACGGCGCCACGGACAGTGAAGCGGCGTCACGTTGCCTGGTGCGAGGGAGTCCCTGTCGACCGCTCGACCGACAGTATTGCTACATTCACTGCTATACTTTGAATGCACGCATAGCAGTAAGCGCCAACGTGACAACAGCGCTGCGCTAACCGTGCGACGGACGAAGGCCTGCGTCCAAGCGAGAGTGATCGAGGGTTAATAACCGACATGTCGATGTAATTTAAACGGTTTTCCTTTAGATGTCCACAACAATGGAAAATCCGGCTTCACTAAGGGCTCCGGCAGCCAGCCGCAAAGGGCAGTGGAACGTATGTATCCATTTATCGTTCATTTGGTCAAATTAATAAGTGAAAGGTGATTTCATTGGCGTGGCTTTTCCCCAGACGTCCAAACCACCAAAAGTTCGGTTAGCTCAGCCAACAGATTCCTGGAGAATCCTTACCTCATTGTGAATCGTATGTACCATTCATTTATTTATCGCTCATTTTTTCCAAAGTCATTTTACTCGATACACATGACTTCCAATTGCGGATGGGTCATGAAAGTAATGAATATTCTGGCAATGATGACCAATAAGCGAAACGTCGACTCAATTTGGATGTCTTCTCCCCAGGCTTTGACCCCGTGCCAGTTCAAGGATTTCCGGGCCTATCTATTCTAGGAAGTACGTAGCATCTAGTTGTTTTTCTGACCATCATTATGATAACACTAAGTAACTGAAACGTTAACTCAATTTGAATGCCTTTCCACCAGAAATTCAATCCAGCGGGAAACTGATCTCAACTAAAGAATATGACAATCATCGCTATAGGAGTCTAGGAAGTATGTACCACGTCTCAATTTTTTATCATTCCGGTCAAATCCTTTCTACTTAGTACACTGCTTGTGTCCGTCACGCACGAGTCATTTAACTATTATCAATATTCCTATATGCGCCAACGCACCAACATAATAATGATTGATAACCGACACGTCGATGTAACTTTACTGGCGTTTTTACAGCCGCTCATGTCCCGAGGCCGGTCTCAGCACGCGGATCGGCAAGTCGACAAGACTAGTCTGCATGGTATGTCTCATCTGTTCATTTTCAATCTACTTTGAATAATAAGTCCATGTCCAGATCTAAATAATGAGAACACTACATGGGAATTGTAGATTAACTCATTTGTTGATGACATTATATTTTTTCTTCATTTTCACATCAATCATCAAAGTCTTATTTTCAGGGACATGTCTCCTATTCAGCATGCGCGGCGTGTGGTATCGTCCACACAACATAGAAGGAGAGAACCTCAAAATGATATGGCACAAGAACTCTGATAAGACACAGAAAAGTCCTTTGCCAACTGTAGCATAGCTATACTTACTACCCATAAATCTTTGTCGTACCGTTGGCAAAATTGAACTTCACTCATCAGGACAACATTTGCGAACTTCATTACGCAACTTCTTTTAAACATTGTGTATAACAAAAGGAGATTTGTCAAAGATTTGTAAATCTATTGAAATAAATGATTGGTATTATCCTGGAAAAGTAAATATATCGAAATTCTACTTATTCTTCTATCTTAAGAGAAGGCCTCTCAATAATTCTCAGTTATTCAAGACCTAACGGAGGTAAGCGGTGTTGTGAAGTAAACTTCGAGACAGAGATTTGTCGTAGTCACCGGCGGCTCAGATGGAAGGTACCTGGAGTGATACTGGGAAGTTACCGGTTCGATTGCCAGCTGGGGATATTTGTCTCGATGATGCCAATTCTTTTTGAACCGAAAAATCTCTCTATGCAATGCTTGTTTCTCCATAGCTTCGGTCAAACAGACTGCTTCATGGCAGATGGCACCAAAAAAGGTGAAAGGTGAAATATGGAAAAAAAATCTGAAGGTCCCTCGCTTCGTCCGTTCTTATGCTTGAGCCGAATGACTTCTCGTGCGATGAGTGCGCAGGATGAGATGTTAACGTATTAAAAACAGAGACATCACGTCGGAATTTTCTTAATCCGTCAGATTGTCCCCGAAGCCACAAGGAACTGCGATAATAAATAAATTATTAATTAGTAATTGTTCCTGTGCCCGTCATGATAATGAGGAAGCTGGAAGTGGTGAGTGCTGGAAGTCCGCTTCCAGCACTCACAATTCAGCATCAGCTGTAGAAAAAATGAATAAGTGTTATTTTTTGTTCAAATGTTCGTATATGAATTCAAATACTGTTCAATGGAATATCGCCATTTCTATCTACCTTTAATTCCAACAAATCCATGACTGTCAAGCGATACCCGTACCAGAGCACGCACTAAATTGGCAATAACAATTAGGGTAGTATTTTCTTTGAAGAAGACGAAACAAGTCCTATAGCTATTGAGGAACATTGTCCACGAAATCAAGACAACCATGGAATGTATGAAAAAAGATGTTCATGTTTATTTAGCCTTTTGTTTGTGTCCATATCTACGTGGTGACGCTAATACGTGACACAATGCCTACGATGATTGGAAACACTCCTCAACATATCAGAAAATTAAACAAGTAGTAGATGAGATGTGGCACGTCTTTTAAAGAATCCAACAGAAATTGTACTCTATCGAACATCGCAGTAATGTTTGACTAGGTACAATTGGAAGTTTATGGAAGGAAGGCATAAATTTCAATTGCTTGTTCAAAGTCGTTTTGAAATGAGTAGTCGAAGAGCAAAATTATTCCAGGATCAAATTGTGTAAATATATGGAAAAATTATCCGCAATATGCATTAAAATTGCAGACATTTTTCAAGAAACAGTAAGAAGCTTCCAGTCAAGAAATTTACTAGAAATTTCCACCAGTAAACAATACAATTGGTTTATCGAATAAATAAAATTGGTTTATCAACATATAAACGTAATTCCAATTTGAAGAGTTTTACGTGCGTATGTGTAGTGATTCCACTCGTTCTCGAGATAATCCCAACTCGCAAATTGTGGCACGTCGAGCCTCTGATTGGTCAGCTCTCATGAACAAAGCTCAAGCTATAAGTATTAAGTAACAGTCTTTTGGCGCAAAATCATCACTCGATTCTAAACTTCGGTGAAGTAAGCAGTGAAATAAAAGTACGGTATTCATTAAATAAACCCAGATGATAAAGAAAACCATCGCTTTCGCAGTTGCCATCATGGGTGAGTCGAATATCACAGAGATGACGATCATCATCGCGAAAAATCACAATTACTAGAACCATAGTACGGGTGATAATTGTATCGCAGACATACAAAAAATTATAATTGCTTCATTGCTTGCTTAATAACATTCCGTCATAATTGCAAATTTTAGTGAATTTTATTAATAAAGAAAATGACTGTTACTATTGGATTGCTGTGGGAATCAGTAACCACTCTTATGCATGAATTTCTCTGTGTCTTTCAGCCATTGCCGTGACCAAATTTATTTTAGTCAGTGCACAGGGTGAGTTGCCTTTATGGATGGATTATTCAATTATTAAGAATATTCACATATAACAATTATTGTGAAGATAATTACTCATCGAAATTTTAACTCGACTTGAATGGCCTTTCCCGCAGATGTTGCGACCAACCGGAGTAAGAACTTGATATACCAATTCGTGCTTAATTCCTCATCTACGACGCAAAGTATATATCTTCCATTTCTTTTTTGTTTGTTCAACTGTTAAGATTATTATAGATAATTGTTATTGCATATATACAAACAACAGTCATCATATGAATATTTGATAACCGAAATATCCACTTCTCATCAGACATAACCGTGAATGAGAGCACTACAATGGAGAATACGTCAGTAGTTTCGGGCAATGAAACAGGTACATTTCAAACGTGAATGAATCATTCACATAGTAATAATTTTCAAATATAACAATTATTGTGAAGAATTACTTTTTGAAATTTTAACTCGGCTTGAATGGCCTTTCCCGCAGGTATTGCACTCAACCAGAATCGGAGCTCGACAAACGTATCCGTGATTGATTCCTCTTCTACGACGCCAAGTAAATATCTTCTATTTCTTTTTTATTTATACAACTGTTAAAATTATTATAGATAATTGTTATTGCATATATACAAACAACAGTCATCATATGAATATTTGATAACCGAAATATCCACTTCTCATCAGACATAACCGTGAATGAGAGCACTACAATGGAGAATACGTCAGTAGTTTCGGGCAATGAAACAGGTACATTTCAAACGTGAATGAATCATTCACATAGTAATAATTTTCAAATATAACAATTATTGTGAAGAATTACTTATTGAAATTTTAACTCGACTTGAATGGCCTTTCCCGCAGGTATTACACCCAACCAGAGTCAGAAGTGGACAAACGTATCCGTGATCGATTCCTCCTCTACGACGCAAAGTATATATCTTCTATTTCTTTTTTGTTTATACAACTGTTAAAATTATTATAGATAATTGTTATTGCATATATACAACCAATAGTCATCATATGAATATTTGATAACCGAAATGTTCACTTCTTATCAGACATAACCGTGAAAGAGAACATTGAAAAGGATAATACGACGGTAGGTGCGGACGATGGAACAGGTGCGTTTTCATCGCGAATAAATAATCCAAACAGTTATCAAATTCAAATATAAGAATTATTATGAAAGTAATTTCTCATCGAAATTTTAACTCGATGTGAATGGCCTTTCCCGCAGATATTACACCCAACCAGAGTCAGAAGTCGACAAACGTATCCGCGATTGATATCTCCTCTACGACGCAAAGTATATATCTTCTATTTCTTTTTTCTTTATACAACTATTAAAAGGATTATAGATAATTGATATTTGATAACCGAAATGTTCACTTCTTATCAGACATAACCGTGAAAGAGAACATTGAAAAGGATAATCCGCCGGTAGATGCGAACGATAGAGCAGGTGCGTTTTCATCGCGAATAAATAATTTAAATATTTATAATATTAAAATATAAGAATTACTATGAAGATAATTCCTCATCGAAATTTTAACTGGATTTGAATGGCCTTTCCCGCAGGTATTACACCCAACCAGAGTCAGAAGTCGACAAACGTATCCGCGATTGATATCTCCTCTACGACGCAAAGTATATATCTTCTATTTCTTTTTTCTTTATACAACTATTAAAAGGATTATAGATAATTGATATTTGATAACTGAAATGTTCACTTCTTATCAGACATAACTGTGAAAGAGAACATTGAAAAGGATAATACGCCGGTAGGTGCGGACGATGGAACAGGTGCGTTTTCATCGCGAATAAATAATCCAAACAGTTATCAAATTCAAATATAAGAATTATTATGAAAGTAATTTCTCATCGAAATTTTAACTCGATTTGAATGGCCTTTCCCGCAGGTATTACACCCAACCAGAGTCAGAAGTCGACAAACGTATCCGCGATTGATATCTCCTCTACGACGCAAAGTATATATCTTCTATTTCTTTTTTCTTTATACAACTATTAAAAGGATTATAGATAATTGATATTTGATAACCGAAATGTTCACTTCTTATCAGACATAACCGTGAAAGAGAACATTGAAGTNCACTTCTCATCAGACATAACCGTGAATGAGAGCACTACAATGGAGAATACATCAGTAGTTTCGGGCAATGAAACAGGTACATTTCAAACGTGAATGAATCATACACATAGTAATAATTTCCAAATATAACAATTATTGTGAAGAATTACTTTTTGAAATTTTAACTCGGCTTGAATGGCCTTTCCCGCAGGTATTGCACTCAACCAGAATCGGAGCTCGACAAACGTATCCGTGATTGATTCCTCTTCTACGACGCCAAGTAAATATCTTCTATTTCTTTTTTATTTATACAACTGTTAAAATTATTATAGATAATTGTTATTGCATATATACAAACAACAGTCATCATATGAATATTTGATAACCGAAATATCCACTTCTCATCAGACATAACCGTGAATGAGAGCACTACAATGGAGAATACGTCAGTAGTTTCGGGCAATGAAACAGGTGCATTTCAAACGTGAATGAATCATTCACATAGTAATAATTTTCAAATATAACAATTATTGTGAAGAATTACTTATTGAAATTTTAACTCGACTTGAATGGCCTTTCCCGCAGGTATTACACCCAACCAGAGTCAGAAGTGGACAAACGTATCCGTGATCGATATCTCCTCTACGACGCAAAGTATATATCTTCTATTTCTTTTTTCTTTAAACAACTATTAAAAGGATTATAGATAATTGATATTTGATAACCGAAATGTTCACTTCTTATCAGACATAACCGTGAAAGAGAACATTGAAAAGGATAATACGCCGGTAGGTGCGGACGATGGAACAGGTGCGTTTTCATCGCGAATAAATAATCCAAACAGTTATCAAATTCAAATATAAGAATTATTATGAAAGTAATTTCTTATCGAAATTTTAACTCGATGTGAATGGCCTTTCCCGCAGATATTACACCCAACCAGAGTCAGAAGTGGACAAACGTATCCGTGATCGATTCCTCCTCTACGACGCAAAGTATATATCTTCTATTTCTTTTTTGTTTATACAACTGTTAAAATTATTATAGATAATTGTTATTGCATATATACAACCAATAGTCATCATATGAATATTTGATAACCGAAATGTTCACTTCTTATCAGACATAACCGTGAAAGAGAACATTGAAAAGGATAATACGACGGTAGATGCGGACGATGGAGCAGGTGCGTTTTCATCGCGAATAAATAATTCAAATAGTTATCAAATTCAAATATAAGAATTATTATGAAGATAATTTCTCATCGAAATTTTAACTCGATGTGAATGGCCTTTCCCGCAGGTATTACACCCAACCAGAGTCAGAAGTGGACAAACGTATCCGTGATCGATTCCTCCTCTACGACGCAAAGTATATATCTTCTATTTCTTTTTTGTTTATACAACTGTTAAAATTATTATAGATAATTGTTATTGCATATATACAACCAATAGTCATCATATGAATATTTGATAACCGAAATGTTCACTTCTTATCAGACATAACCGTGAAAGAGAACATTGAAAAGGATAATACGACGGTAGATGCGGACGATGGAGCAGGTGCGTTTTCATCGCGAATAAATAATTCAAATAGTTATCAAATTCAAATATAAGAATTATTATGAAGATAATTTCTCATCGAAATTTTAACTCGATGNAATAATCCAAACAGTTATCAAATTCAAATATAAGAATTATTATGAAAGTAATTTCTTATCGAAATTTTAACTCGATGTGAATGGCCTTTCCCGCAGATATTACACCCAACCAGAGTCAGAAGTGGACAAACGTATCCGTGATCGATTCCTCCTCTACGACGCAAAGTATATATCTTCTATTTCTTTTTTGTTTATACAACTGTTAAAATTATTATAGATAATTGTTATTGCATATATACAACCAATAGTCATCATATGAATATTTGATAACCGAAATGTTCACTTCTTATCAGACATAACCGTGAAAGAGAACATTGAAAAGGATAATACGACGGTAGATGCGGACGATGGAGCAGGTGCGTTTTCATCGCGAATAAATAATTCAAATAGTTATCAAATTCAAATATAAGAATTATTATGAAGATAATTTCTCATCGAAATTTTAACTCGATGTGAATGGCCTTTCCCGCAGGTATTACACCCAACCAGAGTCAGAAGTCGACAAACGTATCCGCGATTGATATCTCCTCTACGACGCAAAGTATATATCTTCTATTTCTTTTTTATTTATACAACTGTTAAAATTATTATAGATGATTGTTATTGCATATATACAACCAATAGTCATCATATGAATATTTGATAACCGAAATTTCCACTTCTTATCAGACATTACCGTGAAAGAGAACATTGAAAAGAATAATACGCCAGTAGATGCGAACGATGNGGACAAACGTATCCGTGATCGATTCCTCCTCTACGACGCAAAGTATATATCTTCTATTTCTTTTTTGTTTATACGACTATTAAAATTATTATAGATAATTGTTATTGCATATATACAACCAATAGTCATCATATAAATATTTGATAACCGAAATGTTCACTTCTTATCAGACATAACCGTGAAAGAGAACATTGAAAAGGATAATACGCCGGTAGATGCGAACGGTGGAGCAGGTGCGTTTTCATCGCGAATAAATAATTTAAATATTTATAATATTCAAACATAAGAATTATTATGAAGATAATTCCTCATCGAAATTTTAACTGGATTTGAATGGCCTTTCCCGCAGGTATTACACCCAAAGCGAGTCNTTTTCTTTATACAACTATTAAAAGGATTATAGATAATTGATATTTGATAACCGAAATGTTCACTTCTTATCAGACATAACCGTGAAAGAGAACATTGAAAAGGATAATCCGCCGGTAGATGCGAACGATAGAGCAGGTGCGTTTTCATCGCGAATAAATAATTTAAATATTTATAATATTAAAATATAAGAATTACTATGAAGATAATTCCTCATCGAAATTTTAACTGGATTTGAATGGCCTTTCCCGCAGGTATTACACCCAACCAGAGTCAGAAGTCGACAAACGTATCCGCGATTGATATCTCCTCTACGACGCAAAGTATATATCTTCTATTTCTTTTTTCTTTATACAACTATTAAAAGGATTATAGATAATTGATATTTGATAACCGAAATGTTCACTTCTTATCAGACATAACCGTGAAAGAGAACATTGAAAAGGATAATACGCCGGTAGATGCGAACGGTGGAGCAGGTGCGTTTTCATCGCGAATAAATAATTTAAATAGTTATAATATTCAAATATAAGAATTACTATGAAGATAATTCCTCATCGAAATTTTAACTGGATTTCAATGGCCTTTCCCGCAGGTATTACACCCAACCAGAGTCAGAAGTCGACAAACGTATCCGCGATTGATATCTCCTCTACGACGCAAAGTATATATCTTCTATTTCTTTTTTCTTTATACAACTATTAAAAGGATTATAGATAATTGATATTTGATAACCGAAATGTTCACTTCTTATCAGACATAACCGTGAAAGAGAACATTGAAACGGATAATACGACGGTAGATGCGGACGATGGAGCAGGTGCGTTTTCATCGCGAATAAATAATTTAAATAGTTATAATATTCAAATATAAGAATTACTATGAAGATAATTCCTCATCGAAATTTTAACTGGATTTGAATGGCCTTTCCCGCAGGTATTACACCCAACCAGAGTCAGAAGTCGACAAACGTATCCGCGATTGATATCTCCTCTACGACGCAAAGTATATATCTTCTATTTCTTTTTTCTTTATACAACTATTAAAAGGATTATAGATAATTGATATTTGATAACCGAAATGTTCACTTCTTATCAGACATAACCGTGAAAGAGAACATTGAAAAGGATAATCCGCCGGTAGATGCGAACGATAGAGCAGGTGCGTTTTCATCGCGAATAAATAATTTAAATATTTATAATATTAAAATATAAGAATTACTATGAAGATAATTCCTCATCGAAATTTTAACTGGATTTGAATGGCCTTTCCCGCAGGTATTACACCCAACCAGAGTCAGAAGTCGACAAACGTATCCGCGATTGATATCTCCTCTACGACGCAAAGTATATATCTTCTATTTCTTTTTTCTTTATACAACTATTAAAAGGATTATAGATAATTGATATTTGATAACCGAAATGTTCACTTCTTATCAGACATAACCGTGAAAGAGAACATTGAAAAGGATAATACGCCGGTAGATGCGAACGATGGAGCAGGTGCGTTTTCATCGCGAATAAATAATTTAAATAGTTATAATATTCAAATATAAGAATTACTATGAAGATAATTCTTCATCGAAATTTTAACTGGATTTGAATGGCCTTTTCCGCAGGTATTCCACCCAAGCCGAGTCAGAAGTGGACAAACGTATCCGCGATTGATATCTCCTCTACGACGCAAAGTATATATCTGCTATTTCTCTTTTCTTTATACAACTATTAAAAGGATTATAGATAATTGATATTTGATAACCGAAATGTTCACTTCTTATCAGACATAACCGTGAAAGAGAACATTGAAAAGGATAATACGCCGGTAGATGCGAACGATGGAGCAGGTGCGTTTTCATCGCGAATAAATAATTTAAATAGTTATAATATTCAAATATAAGAATTACTATGAAGATAATTCTTCATCGAAATTTTAACTGGATTTGAATGGCCTTTTCCGCAGGTATTCCACCCAAGCCGAGTCAGAAGTGGACAAACGTATCCGCGATTGATATCTCCTCTACGACGCAAAGTATATATCTGCTATTTCTCTTTTCTTTATACAACTATTAAAAGGATTATAGATAATTGATATTTGATAACCGAAATGTTCACTTCTTATCAGACATAACCGTGAAAGAGAACATTGAAAAGGATAATACGCCGGTAGATGCGAACGGTGGAGCAGGTGCGTTTTCATCGCGAATAAATAATTTAAATAGTTATAATATTCAAATATAAGAATTACTATGAAGATAATTCCTCATCGAAATTTTAACTGGATTTCAATGGCCTTTCCCGCAGGTATTACACCCAACCAGAGTCAGAAGTTGACAAACGTATCCGCGATTGATATCTCCTCTACGACGCAAAGTATATATCTTCTATTTCTTTTTTATTTATACAACTGTTAAAATTATTATAGATGATTGTTATTGCATATATACAACCAATAGTCATCATATGAATATTTGATAACCGAAATTTCCACTTCTTATCAGACATTACCGTGAAAGAGAACATTGAAAAGAATAATACGCCAGTAGATGCGAACGATGGAGCAGGTGCGTTTTCATCGCGAATAAATAATTTAAATATTTATAATATTCAAACATAAGAATTATTATGAAGATAATTCCTCATCGAAATTTTAACTGGATTTGAATGGCCTTTCCCGCAGGTATTACACCCAAAGCGAGTCAGAAGTCGACAAACGTATGCGTGATCGATTCCTCTTCTGCGACGCAAAGTATATATCTTCTATTTCTTTTTTGTTTGTACAACTGTTAAGAGGATTATAGATAATTGATATTTGATAACCGAAATGTTCATAGACATAACCGTGAAAGAGAAAATTGAAAAGGATAATACGCCGGTAGATGCGGACAATGGAGCAGGTGCGTTTTCATCGCGAATAAATAATTCAAATAGTTATAATAGTCAAATATAACAATTATTGTGAAGAATTACTTATTGAAATTTTGCCTCGATTGGAATGGCGTTTTGCGCAGGTAATAAATTTGATCAGACTCAGAACTCGATGAAGGAAATCACGATTCATGTCTCTTCCACGACAGAAAGTATGTACGATCTATTAATTTTCTATAAAAAATGATCCATACCTAATAATAACCAAAGCATCGATTTAACGTCATTAGCTGTCCCAGAAGGTCAAACATACAGCAGGAGGGGCTCCTCATCAAGTGAATCCGAGATCCCGCAGTATGAGATTCTAGGATGTACGTACTATTCTTCTATTTTTTAATTATTTTTAGTCTAATCCGTTTGAATAACTTTCTCTCAGATGTCCACTCCGCTGGGAATTCAGACTCAGTTGACGGACTTGCCATGCAGCCGTCTGCGATTGGTGGACGTAAGTACCATCTACTAGCTTTTTATCAAAAAAAGAATAGATCCATAAAAGACCTAATAAAAACCGAAACATCGATTTAACGTTATTAGCTGTCCCAGAAGGTCAAAAATACAGCAGGAGGGGCTCCTCATCAAGTGAATCCGAGATCCCGCAGTATGAGATTCTAGGATGTACGTACTATTCATCTATTTTTTCATTATTTTCAGTCTAATCCGTTTGAATGACTTTCTCTCAGATGTCCACTCCGCTGGGAATTCAGACTCAGTTGACGGACTTGCCATGCAGCCGTCTGCGGATGGTGGACGTAAGTACCACCTATTAGCTTACTACCAAAAAAGAACAGATCCATGCCTAACAGTAACCGAAACATCGATTTAACGTTATTAGCTGCCTCAGAAGGTCAAGGCGAATCCGGGAGCCCGCAGATTGAGATTTTAGGAGGTATTTACCCTCTTTTTCTTGTTTTTCTCGGTCTAATTCATGTTACCCAATACATTGCTCTATGTAACATCATTACGATAATTAATGAGCAAATTGTTGACTCAACTTGAATGGGTTCCCTTCAGGCGTTAAACCCTTAGAAGTCCCCGCTAGTCTGGTCGCAGCTAAGCGATTCATGAGCCAGCCATCGGTGATGCAGGGTATGCCCTATCTATGTTATAACATTATAGTGTCGATTCATCACTCATACTTCATCTTAACTTGAATGGCTTTCTTCTAGGCTTTTCATTCGGCGGGAATCAGGACGCTAGGGACGCATCCTCGAACGAGCAAGGAGTTCGTCAAATGTATGTACACTTATTTTCAGTTCATTTTGATCAAAACAATTTCCTCAATACGATGATTCAGAGAACGGATGAGTCATTCGACAATTTTAACATCCCCATATAGCGATAATATAGTGATAAGAATGAATATAGTGATAATTAGTAGCAAAAAATTTTACCAACCTGAGGATTGATTCTGTTTTTTGTGTTCTTCCTGAAAATCATGGTTTCTCTCATTTTTAGGCGTTCCGCGCCGACTTCTACCCGACTACATTCAACTCGTCTAGCCCAAATCCCTGTTCCTCATTCTTCCCTGAATTTCTCCACGTCTCTCCAGAATAATTCCAATTCCTGCTGAAAATTTTGTTTACTGTGACTTCGCTAGAGACAAACTATCTGTGGACTGTAAAGTTTTTCTCACCTATTATTCTTTTACAGGAATTATCAAGGGGATCAGATCGTAGGTAGACGAATCATGATGGACGCTATAAAGCATTTTTCTTGGCCTAAGTTTGTGCCGCCCATGATATCCTTCCACCTTCCTCCGAAGACAGCCAGAAGATAAAAATAGCAAAGACTTGCATTTCAACCTCCAAGGGACTAGATCATGAATGGCATATGTGAATGAGGATGAGACCTAATAATCTGTAATAATTGTGAATTGATAATAAAATAAAACGAATTCTGTTGGATTCATAAAACGCTAAATGATGATTTTCACCTTTTTCCATGAGTGGTAGTACATAGCGTCACGACCCAGTTATGGAATCAGAGTCACACTTAGCAGAGAATTCATGTGACCTTACATTATTACTGTGACAAACGAAGTTAAATGGAAACTATGGGCTGTATACTTTGTCTAAAGGCAAAACTATCCTGTCAACAATTCTTCAAAGTTATTAAAAACAATACGGTTCCATGGCTGGGCCTCGTGTCTTAAGAGTTCCATGACGGCGTCACTGACGGTATAGAATGGAGCGAATTAAAAAAATAATGACACCCCAAATGTACACGTTACCACGACATTTGAACTTCTTTCAAGCAACCGAGCGATAAATAAGCAAGTTATCGGTGCAAAGTTGAATGGCAACGAGGAGCTGCCACCTGTAGATGGAATCCGCCAGAAACTCCACATTTACACATCTAACAGATGTATTATATTAAGACCATTGCTGATAAAATAGAAGCCTGAATAATTTTTCAACTTTATCACTCAATCAGAATACGACAAACCTGAAGAAACGAATTCTAATAAATAAGTATCTCATTATTGCGCAAAAATAGTTTACAAATTGTTTTGTACAATCATAAAAAATCGAGTGATATGAAGAACCGGAGAGCGATTGCAATACTGTTGAATTTACACAATGCAAAATAATGATTAAAACGGACAATATAAATATGATACTAAAACCAAAACATCACATTATAACTTGCAAAATCCTTTACACAATATCACTGATATCACGCAGAAACCGGTGTAACAATGATTTTTTTCGCCTTCAATGCCAGTTGAAAGCAACATGAGCGATGAGTAGATAAACAGTAACTGCTGATGTACTCGTCACCATGATTGGAAATCCCACTCTGGTCCCCGGAAATCGAAAAAAATACATTAGTTTTTGGATTTAACTATTTTTCAATGGAATATTTGTATCATGATCTACATTTACTTGAAAAATTGGATGAATGTAAAGCGATATCCATGCTGTTCAGCAACACCAGCACAAACGACATTGGCGGTGGCTCCAATCAAAGTAGCATTCCCTGTAAAAATCACAACGAATCTTTCCAAGCAGACACGAATGCCCCAGCAGGGCCGCTCGACAGACTCATTTCCCAATTATATCTTCTACTCTTCAAACAATACTACTTACCCCCGAAACAAGCACCGAAGGCTAGCGCCCAAACGAGTGGCTGCAGTGGCAAATTTAGTTCATCATTTTGGGATAAATTAATCGCAATCCTCACCATCATCGTAGCTAGAGGAACATTGTCAAGAAAAGCACTTGCGAATGCTGATACCCACAGAATTAACAAAATTGCAACAGCCAATCTGGATTCCTCGGATACCGACAGAATGACCCACTCGGTTTGCTTTCCAATCCATGCAATGAGACCCATACGTGACAATGCCTGTTAAATTTTTAAGTATATATCAGCATATCGGAAAATAAAAGAAGTTTCATATGCACCGTAACATGTTTGAAAATCCATTATTCTATTGAAAACACCATTTTTTTGTCAATCTTATGTTTTCCATATGTGTCCGATACAATAGTTTTAGTGGGAATTTCTGTAAAAAACGCGCGGTACATCTGGGGAATTCCCCAATAGAATTGGCCAAAAAACTAATAGAAGTTCACCAGAAATTAAGTGAAATCTATCGAATTCACTACAATTTTGAATAAAATTTGTCGTATAGCATATTTCGCCAGTAAGCCGTAATCAGCTTTGCTATAATCATATGAGGCAGAAGAGTTCTCCACATGTACGGAACGATATTTTTTATCACTTAGTTCGTGACGCAACGCTTCGCAAAAAAAATTCTCTCTACAAGTTTCTGAAATCTTCAACACAGAATTTCCCTACATCTCTCAACTGAAAATAAGAAGAAAGAAAAACTGATTTCCCCGAGAAATGTTGACGGAAATCATCTCAACAGAATGACATTAAATAAAAAATCAAACCTCCATGAGTATGAACAACGACGCGAAGAAGATCAAAGTGCTCCACTCAACCCTCGCCAATATTCCATCCAGATCCTGAGCATCAGCAATTATGAGAAGCAATAGCACTCCAAGCAAAGCAGTCCATCCCAATGTTAAATGCAAAGCTGGAAGACTATGCAGGAAAAACAAAAGGATAACAAAGAGCAGAACGACCCCTGATTTTATCAGAAGCGTTCTATTTCTGATGGGATACTTCTCCTGCAGCTCTTCCAGCGTTGTCTTGTACTTCTCAAGTGCAACACTTCCTGTCATCAGCTTCTTCTTCAGCAGCGAGAGTAATCTGTGTACTTTCTTAACAAGCGTCTCCCTCACCATATTCTCATCCTTGCTGTAACTAGACAGACTTGCAGCTGCTCTCTGCCAGATAGCGATCTCATGCCGCAGATCCTGAATATCCTGGGGCTCATCAAAACCCAACACCGAGATGTCACGAAAGATGAATCGCAGTTGTCCGTAAACTACGACCAGTACGATGAGTACACCGAGACTCATGTGAAGGACAAAAGTCCCAAAGTCAACTCCGGCATTAACAACATCACGATTCGACGCGATTATCACGTTGGGTGGATCTCCAACGGGTGTCAAGGCCCCTCCAATATTCGAGTAGATCAGCATTGCTGTCAAAATTGGCACGGGATTCAACTCCATAACTTCACAGAGTCTTATCGTCACGGGCGTCATCAACAGCACTGTCGTCACGTTATCCAGAATCGAGGATAGAGCTGCTGTGAAGAAGCACAAGGTGCTGATGAGTGGCCAGATCTTGCCCCCAGTTATTTTGTAAGCGTAGACAGCCAGGTAATCAAACAGTCCGGTCTCAGCGATGACAGCTACGATTATCATCATTGAGAACAGGAGGAGAATTGTATCGATGTCAATCCAAGAGACGAACTCTGTCATCGTGGGGCGCTCGTTGTAGACCGCCAGAATTGCTAGGGACATGGTGGAGGCGAGCATAGCTGCCAGTGCTCTGTGAACTACTTCGAAAATTATGAGGACGTAGAGACCTACGAGAACGACAGCTCCATAGATGATGCCATCTTCAGAGTGGGCTGGGGACAGATCGTAGCCGATGTTTATCGGAAAGCTCGTGGGGAAATTTGAGAATAGATTCATTCGCAGAATTGTGGTCGAATAGTTTCCGTGAATTTTTGTCAACTCCACCAGGCGACCCGTTGTTTGATTCGGAAAGAAGTCCATGTAGTAGGGCGGCAGTAGAGGAAGTACCCACTGATCAGACACGTTTGTGCTAAATCGCTGGAAAACTGCTGCATTCTCCGCTTTATCTACAACTTGTTCGAACCAGATGATGAGGTGATACCGGGAGCGATTGGATTCTTGGTAACCACGACGTGGGGGAAACAGAGAGCCTTCGATTGCCATGTAGATGCGACTGCTGATCGGCTCTCCCGAAATCGGAAAAACTTGGAAAGGCGTTAAGGATGACAAATACAAAAAGAGGAAAAATTTTTAGCGTTCTAAAAATGAGTGAGACTTGATTGAAATTATTAACATTTTTCGTGGAATAACAAAAAAAAATAGAAAATAGTTTCAGAAATTTCAAAGAATGAAGATATTCGACAAAGGATACTGCGGAGAGAATTATTCGGCACCACTATCCAATGCATTTCCACCGAGTTCTCACCTTTCATCATCAATATCAACTAAAAAGAAAAATAATGTAATAATTGAAATTTTTTTCAATGGGGATATTTACGGTGAAGATGGTCCAACAACATGTGAGCAGGACTAGTTTGGTGTAACGATAGAGCGGACTTTGCCGAGACCCGTTTGAATCTGTGTCGATGTCGTAGGCTTTTTTTTCGTGGGTGGGTGATGCTTGTCTGTTGATGAAACAATAACGAATATCTCTCACTGTCAAATAATGTCTCCCTTAAATACTCACCGAGGGAATTGTTAGACGGAACTTACTTGGATGTAGAGGGTTGCGCGCAGACGGACATATTTACGAGTTGTTCACCCCCGGGAATATTGAGTGATGCGTTTTTCTCGATTACGTGACTCAGTCTCTCGTATTGTCTGTGGATTGCTGCTAGGCTGGGATCTAGACGAATTGACTCGGGCAGTGTGCTCCAAATGCGAAGGACTTCATCGGAAATCGGCCCGAAAACTATAGAACTTATCGCTGAAGATGGTGTTCCTAAAGATGATAAAAATAAATTTTTTCCGAAGAAAAAGAAATTCTGCCTTCTGACAAACTAATCGTATTGTTGTTTACCGGGCGTCACACTTCTTGTACTGAAGCGTGAGTTTCTCCGAATGGATCTCGGAGTTTGCAACTCCGTCTCGTCCTCACTCGACTCTGACAGAGATATCATCTCACCAACTGGAGTGAGATAAGAGAAAATAATACAAAACTCTCACAGAATTTTTTCAAGGTTTTGTAGCATTCGACCATAATCATTTCGTCTGAGATGTCCGACTCGTTATTCGACAATAACTGTCTTTAATCTCCATGCATGTATAATGACCCGCAAGATTACGAATCCGAATCGTGCGAATATTACAAGGAAAACAGATTATTTGATAGCACCTGCTTCCATCGTATTGAGGGATATGGGAGAATTTAATTAACTGGAAGTTTAACGCCCCTCCCGACTCCCTCACGACCGTTTAAGTAGGCTAGAGAAATGTGAGTCATTCAATCAACAGTGTAAACATCGAAATTTTCAAATTATCATAATTTCACAAAACACTAATTTCCGGATTATCCCAGCCCCGAATAAGCACTCGATCAGAACCAAATTTATGATCACTCGATTATTATCTCAAGTGAGTACATATGAAAAAACTTAGCAGAAAAACGTAGCGAATTCGCTGCACAATTCAAATCAATAGAATTCGATTTTTCTATACAACTTAATCTATTGAGATATTTTCTATAGAATTTCCTCGGCTCAAATGTTCCAACTTTTTTGTTTGATTTTCTTGATAAAAAGAAAAGTAAAATAGAATAACAAAAATTTAAAAAATTTGAGGGGAAGAAATTCTATAGAAAATAGCAAATACCTCAATAGAAGTAGTTGTTGAGAAGAATCGAATTCTATTGAGTTTTTCTATAGAATATTTCAATGGAATCGGCCAGAAACGAATAGAAAATGTGGTAGAAATCTAATAGTATTGTCTAGCGAGTTGGCTAGGTTTTTCTATTAATTTTTTTCGTGCGCGAGTGTAAGAGGTTTGCAAAATACCTGAGCTATTCAATCACTAATTACTCTTACGTTGAAGAGTCCCTAAAACCTACGAAATTTTCGGCGTTCCCCCGAGAACAGTAGCCGGCCAACTGAATTTCAGTGTAGCCCAAAGGTAACAATGAATCCCTTGTTTACATTTCATCCTGTTCTGTTCCTGTGCCTGGACTGTTCGAATCGCAAAATCAATATCGTTATATCACCAGAATTTAGACGAAACCATTCCATTTGACAATATTAATCTGCTGGAGTTTAGAATTCACAATTAATCTGCCGTCACAGCTTAAAATAGAATGAGTCACACCTGCACACTTGCTAAACTCGAAACAACTAAACGCTGACAGCAATTGTCGATCATTCAGTCATCACAGCAACGCGTGATGCATTCCGATCCATGGAATAGTGTAAATATTTACCTAACAAATTTATAATTCATTTATAATTCTTTTTTCATCTCAAATAATTATGAAATTAACGTGACAAATTCATTACAGGAATGAAATAAAAACAGAAGAAATATTTTACAAGACGAAAATATTTAGATAACCCACACGGAAAAATTTATATTTTGAAAAATATATAAAAAAATTTCTTAAATTGGCTTAATTTATATAACAAAATATGTAAAATATATGAATTATATAAATTATTTTCTCTCGTATACCCTTTCGGGTTTTTACGATTTGTTCCCTTCCCACCCCCCAACCACCTGTACCGCATTCGCCGAAGGACGAGGAAAAAACTCACTTGAGGAAAAAACCAGCCCAGGTCCAGTCGTCCCTTTAATGAGACTCCCGCTCGACAGTGAAAATGTGAGATTAGAGTGTTGCAAATTTTGGCTCCCCAGCCGGGTATCGAACCCAGGTCGCTCACGTGCCAATCTCATACTCTAACCACATAGCCACGGCCGTCGGTATGATTTATATATATTAAATATATGATTTATATATATATTTTTTATATTCTTCATAAATTTAAAAAACATAGAATTGGTCCATATTATATATTTTTTAAATATATTTTTTGATGGGGGAATGTTTATGGAGAAATCGCATAGAGACTCTTCGTGGAATCCGGATAATTTCTATAGAATTTACGGAAATGTATATCGACGAGGGGATATCTCAATTTTTCAACTAAATATCATCATTTTTATGAAATTCTGAAAAACCTCTTGTGTCCAAAGATCCGGAAGCATTTAATGAAAATTATCGGAATATTATATACGAGAATTTCTTGTAATAATGTTCTACAGAACATCTCAATGCAATTAGGTAGGTCTCAATGCAATAGGTATAAGCAATTTGTCTCTTCTGACCGTCCATATCACTACGTACTTCTTTGTGTGTAGATACAATGACCCAGAATTTCCGGAGAAACATTTCGGAAAGTTTGGAACGAATTTCTCCCAAACAAAGGACCGAGGGTCGATGACCTCCGGCCGATGGGACCGGCAGGCGGGTCGTTGCATCATATGGCGGCCGTACGTGAGGGATTAAAAAACAAAAAATATAAAAACAGAGAGTGCCTCCTTCCTGCACTCAGCACTCGCAAGTATTTTTTTCGGGTATCTTTTTTTTCATCAAAAAAGTCCCCTCAGACGGGGTGAATTTTCAAGGACGATTTCATCCCTTAAACCCGTGATTAAGCCATGGAAAAAATCACGTATCCCTCATATTTGAATCCTCTTCAACAAATCTCAACAAAAGTCTCCACAAAAACGGAGTTTCTTGGGTGAGCAAATACTAAGCGGAAATAACGATATTCCTTATTTACTCCCCTCAATAATCAACATAAGCAATTTGTTTCTTCTGACCGTCCATATCACTGCGTACTTCTTTGTGTGCAGATACAATGACCCGGAATTTCCGGAAAAACATTTCGGAAAGTCTGGAACGAATTTTCGATGCTTCAATGCTCCGCAACATTGTTTACCGAAATATCGGGAGAATTTAATAACAATGCGAAAAATTTCTCACGCGCATCAGTGTGTACTGATTCCCCACATAACTTCTCTGGTCGTTCACTTCCTGTCAATAATGCCGAGCCTTTGAGTATTTAATCACGGGCTCTTGATGAGCAAATCATCATTCGATTGTTAGCTTCAAAAAACTGAACAGTTTAGCAGCGAGCAAAAAGAATCCATTCAATTAACTCGAAAATGAACAAAGCCATCGTTCTTGCAGTGCTCATCACGGGTAAGTTATTCATTTATGGGAAATACTCTAATATAACAATCAATTGGATGACAAGTTTTCACCAAAGTGTGGCTGTGACCAATTGACGTTAATTTTTTTAAAACTGAGTTTTCCTATAATGGAAACAATATAGGTACTGCTTTAACGTGATGGCAATCAAAAATTTTTGATCAGTTAATAGTCAACAGTGAATTTTTTCATCACATTTCTGACTAGTACGATGTGATGTGAAAGCTAATAATCGCCAATCTACAAGAAACTATATGATTTTGCAGGCATTGCAGCTCAGTACGCGGATCTATGTACCCCGTGGGAAACTCCGAGGGATTTCCGATCGTTATTCAACTTACCTGGCTACAACCAATCGCCAGCGCCGAAAAAAAGTATAATCATTCGAAGACTTTGTGGGCCCTACAGCAACAAAGTATCACCGCCGGGAACTCTTTGCCTCAGAGCTCGGAGTGACCTTTGCCGCAATGACGCACAACCGCAGGAAATAATTTGTTGTAGACCTCTGAGTGACCCCTGTGCCAACGGAGCCTCACCGCAAGGAACTATTTGTATTCCAACTTCGAACGACCCCTGCGGCAATGGAGCATTACCACAAGGAACTATTTGTCTTACAGGATCGAGTGACCCCTACGGCAACGGAGGATCACCACACGGATCTATTTGCTTTACAGCCCCAAGTGACCCCTGCTGCAATCAGGCACCACAGCAGCAAACTATTTGTCTTCCACCTGGGAGTGACCCCTGCGGCAACGGAGGATCACCACATGGATCTATTTGCTTTACAGCCCCAAGTGACCCCTCCTGCAATCAGGCACCACAGCAGCAAACTATTTGTCTTACACCTGGGAGTGACCCCTGTGGCAATGGAGCATTGCCGCAAGGAACTATTTGTCTTACAGGATCGAGTGACCCCTGCGGCAACGGAGGATCACCACATGGATCTATTTGCTTTACAGCCCCAAGTGACCCCTCCTGCAATCAGGCACCACAGCAGCAAACTATTTGTCTTACACCTGGGAGTGACCCCTGTGGCAATGGAGCATTACCGCAAGGAACTATTTGTCTTACAGGATCGAGTGACCCCTGCGGCAACGGAGGATCACCACACGGATCTATTTGCTTTACAGCCCCAAGTGACCCCTCCTGCAATCAGGCACCACAGCAGCGAACTATTTGTCTTTCAGCTCCAAGTGATCCCTGCTGCAATCAGGCACCACAGCAGCCAACTATTTGTCTAGCACCTGCGAGTAGCCCCCGCGGCAACCAGGCACCACAGCAGCCGACTATTTGTCTTACAGGTCAGAGTAACCCCTGTGCCAACGAGGCACTACCGCAGGGATCTATCTATCTTACAGCTCCGAGTGACTCCTGCGGCAACCAGGGACCAGCGCAGCCAACTATTGGTCTTACACCTGCGAGTAATCCGTGTGCCAACGAGGCACTACCACAGGGACAATGCGTTGTGATCCGACAACCTGAGGACAACTGCAACGATGTGCCAATACAGAAACAACATATCATCGCCGGCGGGCCTTACTACAACAGAAGACCACTGAACGGAAGGCGTTTCATATTCGGGAAACAGAATAGGCCTTACTACTTCGGAGCACCAGCGCAGAGAAGACTCAATATCGCTGGGGGACCGAGCAGGCCCTGGTTTAATGAGCAACCAGCACCGCAAGAATTTCTTGTCGGACGACGAGGACCTCAGCCTGATTACCACGTAGCACTACCGAATCCAAGAATAGTTGTTCATGGCCAACAGGGTGAGTTGCCATATCAAATTGGCCATCCCACTGTTCAGAATATTCCAACGAGCTATTCATCATAATGATGATTAATTGGAAATGTCATTCTAAGTCAACTCTAATGAATTTTTCCCAGGATCGCCATCCAGTGGATATGAACCCATATGTAACGAGTCACCAGCACAGAGAGTATATGTCGTCGGACAACCGAGTGATTCCGGCTGTAACGAGCAACCAACCCCGCAAGAATGTATTGTCGGACCACAAGGACCTCAGCCTCATTACCAAGTAGCACTACCGAATCCAAGGATAGTTGTTCATGGCCAACAGGGTGAGTTGCCATATTATATGGGCCATTCCACTGTTCACAATATTCCAACGAGCCAATCATCATATTGTCAGAAGTCATTAAACTTGAATGAATTTTCTCCAGGATCGCCATCCAGCGTATGTGAACCCGTATGCAATGAGTCACCAGCACACAGAGTATATGTTGTCGGACAATCCAGTGATGCCGGCTGTAACGAGCAACCACGAGAATGTATTGTCGAACCACAAGGACCTCAGCCTCATTACCACGTATCTCTACCGAATCCAAGAATAGTTGTGCACGGCCAACAGGGTGAGTTGCCATATCATATGGGCCATTTCACTGTTCACAATATTGCAATACACCAATCATCATAGTGATGATTAACCACAAAAGCCATTCTATGCCAACTTAAATGAATTTTCCTCAGAGTCGCCATCCAGTGTATGTGAACCCATATGCAATGAGTCACCAGCACAGAGAGTATATGTTGTCGGACAACCCAGTGATTCCGGCTGTAACGAGCAACCGCGAGAATCTATTGTCGGACCACAAGGACCTCAGCCTCATTACCACGTATCTCTACCGAATCCAAGAATAGTTGTGCACGGCCAACAGGGTGAGTTGCCATATCATATGGGCCATTTCACTGTTCACAATATTGCAATACACCAATCATCATAGTGATGATTAACCACAAAAGCCATTCTATGCCAACTTAAATGAATTTTCCTCAGAGTCGCCATCCAGTGTATGTGAACCCATATGCAATGAGTCACCAGCACAGAGAGTATATGTTGTCGGACAACCCAGTGATTCCGGCTGTAACGAGCAACCGCGAGAATCTATTGTCGGACCACAAGGACCTCAGCCTCATTACCACGTATCTCTACCGAATCCAAGAATAGTTGTTCATGGCCAACAGGGTGAGTTGCCATATCAAATTGGATATCCCACTGTTCACAATATTCCAACGAGCTATTCATCATAATGATGATTAATTGGAAATGTCATTCTAAGTCAACTCTAATGAATTTTTCCCAGGATCGCCATCCAGTGGATATGAACCCATATGTAACGACTCACCAGCACAGAGAGTATATGTCGTCGGACAACCGAGTGATTCCGGCTGTAACGAGCAACCAACCCCGCAAGAATGTATTGTCGGACCACAAGGACCTCAGCCTCATTACCAAGTAGCACTACCGAATCCAAGGATAGTTGTTCATGGCCAACAGGGTGAGTTGCCATATTATATGGGCCATTCCACTGTTCACAATATTCCAACGAGCCAATCATCATATTGTCAGAAGTCATTAAACTTGAATGAATTTTCTCCAGGATCGCCATCCAGCGTATGTGAACCCGTATGCAATGAGTCACCAGCACACAGAGTATATGTTGTCGGACAATCCAGTGATGCCGGCTGTAACGAGCAACCACGAGAATGTATTGTCGAACCACAAGGACCTCAGCCTCATTACCACGTATCTCTACCGAATCCAAGAATAGTTGTGCACGGCCAACAGGGTGAGTTGCCATATCATATGGGCCATTTCACTGTTCACATTACTGCAATACACCAATCATCATAGTGATGATTAACCACAAAAGCCATTCTAAGCCAACTTAAATGAATTTTCCTCAGGGTCGCCATCCAGCGTATGTGAACCCATATGCAATGAGTCACCAGCACAGAGAGTATATGTTGTCGGACAACCCAGTGATTCCGGCTGTAACGAGCAACCGCGAGAATCTATTGTCGGACCACAAGGACCTCAGCCTCATTACCACGTATCTCTACCGAATCCAAGAATAGTTGTGCACGGCCAACAGGGTGAGTTGTCATATTATATGGGCCATTTCACTGTTCACATTACTGCTATACACCAATCATCATAGTGATGATTAACCACAAAAGCCATTCTAAGCCAACTTAAATGAATTTTCCTCAGGGTCGCCATCCAGCGTATGTGAACCCATATGCAATGAGTCACCAGCACAGAGAGTATATGTTGTCGGACAACCCAGTGATTCCGGCTGTAACGAGCAACCGCGAGAATCTATTGTCGGACCACAAGGACCTCAGCCTCATTACCACGTATCTCTACCGAATCCAAGAATAGTTGTGCACGGCCAACAGGGTGAGTTGCCATATTATATGGGCCATTTCCCTGTTCACATTACTGCAATACACCAATCATCATAGTGATGATTAACCACAAAAGCCATTCTAAGCCAACTTAAATGAATTTTCCTCAGGGTCGCCATCCAGCGTATGTGAACCCATATGCAATGAGTCACCAGCACAGAGAGTATATGTTGTCGGACAACCCAGTGATTCCGGCTGTAACGAGCAACCGCGAGAATCTATTGTCGGACCACAAGGACCTCAGCCTCATTACCACGTATCTCTACCGAATCCAAGAATAGTTGTTCATGGCCAACAGGGTGAGTTGCCATGTCAAATTGGATATCCCACTGTTCACAATATTCCAACGAGCTATTCATCATAATGATGATTAATTGGAAAGGTCATTCTAAGCCAACTCTAATGAATTTTCCCCAGGATCGCCATCCAGTGGATATGAAACCATATGTAACGAGTCACCAGCACAGAGAGTATATGTTGTCGGACAACCGAGTGACTCCGGCTGTAACGGGCAACCGCAAGAATGCATTATGGGACCACAGGGACCTCAGCCTCATTACCACATCACACAAGCTAATCCACGAGTAGTTGTTTATGGCCAACAGGGTGAGTTGCCACATGAAATTGGCCCTTCCACTGTTCACAATATCCCAATGCACCAATCATCATAATGATAAGAAATCATTAAACTTGAATGAATTTTCTCCAGGATCACCATCGAGTGAAGGTGAACCCATTTGTAATGAGTCGCCAGCACAGAGAGTATATGTTGTCGGACAACCGAGTGATTCCGGCTGTAACGAGCAACCGCAAGAATGTTTTATCGGACCACAAGGAGCTCAGCCTCATTACCACGTAGCACTTCCGAATCCAAGAATAGTTGTGCACGGCCAACAGGGTGAGTTGCCATATCATATGGGCCATTTCACTGTTCACAATATTGCAACGCACTAATCACCATAGTGATGTTTAATCACAAAAGCCATTCTAAACCAATTTAAATGAATTTCCCGCAGGATTGCCATCCAGTGGATGTGAACCCTTATGTAACGAGTCACCAGTACAGAGAGTATATGTCGTTGGACAACCGAGTGATGGCTGTAACGAGCAACCATCGCCGAAAACCGTCATTCTTGACGGACAGGGTGAGTTGCCACCTCAGACGTGTCATTCAATTATTCAAAATATTTCAATATGACAATCGTCACTATCATGATACTTGATCACCAAAACGACGATTTAACTCGAAAGACTTTTCCCCAGACAACGACTGCTGCAACGGCCAGGACTCAGAGGAAGTATGCAGTGAACCGATACAAATCTGTGTGCGGTCACCAAAGTCATCTAACGCCGGATGTATGTAACATCTTCATATTTTCCATTCATTTTTGTCAAATTCATTCGTTTGAAGACGCTTACTCAGCATCATTCGATCAATTCAACAGCGCCAGCTTCCCGCCAAGGCAAAAGAGCCCAACCCTTCATCAGGCATTACTCACCACGTCTGGTCAACCCTCTAGTAAGACGATGCAGACAAACTGGGTCACAGTCTTCGGGGTGTAAGTAGTCTTCCTCTACGAAAGGGACATCGATAACAGAATTGATTTCCATTCCTTAGTTTCGTCAAGATGATTATTTGCAGCTAGAATTAAACGTAATGTAATTTGTTCCATGTCTGCAGCTGTTCCCGCTGAAGAATCCCCTGAGGAGGCAAAAACATTCTTCTACAGTGTCGATAACCCCTGCAGTTGTATGGATGATGAGCCAGCTTGCGCCGCCGTATCAAACACTGAGGAGTGATCAGGACATTCGTCACCTTGCCAATCGAGAAAGATAGCATTTATTTGTATATCATTTTATGGTGGCGTGTGAAATTCACATGATCCGTCTAAAAATGAATTTCCGTTGTGAATGTCTGTTCTTCTTGATGTCACTATTATAAAACCCTGAAAAGCTGCTATTCATATGGACTACTGAAAGTAAAATAAAGGAGTTTTCGTTTATTTGAGATTGTTATTCATTTCCACGCAACCATATTCAGGTGAAGACTCCACGCACAAAAAATCTGTAGAATTTCATTGTTCTGTGCAACTTTTTTTATTGAAACATTTTCTGTACGAGTTGGTCGATAGAAATTTCTTCATTTTTCATGTGAACCTCAGAAATACGACAAAAATTGTTCGGGATTTAATACCTATCAAGAAACGTGCAGGGTTATCGTAAAAAGCGTGGGGTCATCGGAATTACTACGACGTAGTAAAAAAAATTGTCGCTCGGACCATCCACACCTCAATGTTATCGCAGCGTCCCTCGATAATCGCGCAACCAATTTTTTTCCCTGCATTACATTTGATCTTATGTTGGATCCGACAAAAATTCACAGATAAAATGTACGAAGAAATACAATTTCTGGTTTCTAGTAGCAGTCCGCGGATTCCAGTTCTCCGTTGTATTAAAATTCAAAGCCAAAATTATTGGATTGCAGAGACTGCAGAAATTTTCTCTGAAAATCCACACAAGAAGAAATTTAATAGAAAAACCTGGCGAAGTCGTAGATGGCTCTAATTTTCCAAGTTTTTTCGTATAATTTTCTTGGTAAAAAAAAATAAAAATAGAGTGAAAAAAACTTGGAACTGGTGGAGAGTTTAATGGAAATCCAATAAAATTATCTAACGCATTCGCTAGATTTTTCTATTAAATTTTTAAGAATAACCGTTAGGTAATGACATCAAGAACCCTGGGGTTCTTAAAATAAAAACCTTATGAGGCTCTTCAATTGACATTCTTATCACTTCAAATAGTCATTAATTATGGTGTAGGATCCCAACTTAGATAACCCCTCCCGCTCCCCAGGAAGCGTAATAAGTAACAGAATCTCAATATTTGAATGCCCCCAACTGTTCTTATTTTAACACTCCGTTGATCGCGCTATGAACACTCGAATAATTGAGGGTCTGCTGATACCATTATATTCATAATTTAATCAGGTCTGCATTGCATAAAGCCACATCGATTGCACAAGAAAAATTGTATCATTCTGTTGTGAGATATCAACAAATATTTGGCTTCATATCCACAATACAATATCCAAACATTTGTCCAAAAAAAGCGATATTCAGTTTTTGAGGTCACTAGTGTAACATCTCTCTACATCGGAAAATGGTAAAGTGGCTAAATTAATAGAAAAACCTAGCGAATCCGTTCGAAAATTCTATTGGATTTCTATTGAACTGTCGATTAGTTTTTGGCCAATTCTATTGAAATGTTTAATAGAAAATAGTCTATAGAACAAGTCAAAAAAATTAGATTGTTCTATACAACTTAATCTCTTCTGAATATTTTCTATAGAATTTCCTCGGTTCAAATTTGCCATTTTTTTTCATTTTATTTTTTTTTCCTTTTCGAAAGAATTCGAAAACTAATAGAAACATTCAATCAAAATCCAATAGAATTGTCCAGTGAATTCGCTAGGTTTTTCCATTAACTTTTTCCACACGCGAAATGTCGCTATTCCATTGAATGTAAACAAACGGGGTCTGCTACCAAGAAGCCACCGACTTATCAATATTATCGGTGTTCCTCGATACACCCCGACCCGAAAAATGATTACATAAATTTAATTGCTAATTATTTCGTCACCCCAACCATTCCACACGTCTGACAATTTCATATCTCGTGAAAAAACCATCCCGAGTGTTTTCCGGAACGACTGGAACCTTTGAATAGCTCTCATGTTTTTCAAAACATGTTTGCCTCAATTCTAGGCAGTTGCGACGCAATGTCAGTTGCTCCGATGGATCAGCTTTTGGGATAAGAACCGTTGGATTTTCCACTCATTGTTGACTGGCAAGCACCGGCCTATCTCTATGGCTGATTGGGCACATCTACTTTCGGGTCGTGGGGTCACGAGTATTTAAGTATAGTCACTGCGTGGCCCATCATCAGTTGTTTTCAAACTTCAGGAAGCTGAACTGCATTATCAGTTTACACTAAGAAATTCAATTTTGAAAATGATTTTCAAAGCCATCATTCTTGCAGTCGTCGTCACGAGTGAGTAATCCTACAGTTAACGCACGAAGAGAAATAATTGGTCCTGCTAGAGAATTATATATTGCGTGTCAAGGATTATTTATCCAGAAAGGCAGTTTAATTTCACAGTAACACACTTTGGCTAGTTGTTTTCATGTTTATAACTCAGAAATGAATTAATTGAGGTGCATTACAGAGGGAAAAAATTTTACCCTTCTTGGGAAAAACATCACCCCATTTTTGTTAAAAATTCAACGTATCCGTTTTACCCCACTTGCGCCTACTTCTTGAAAATTATCATAGAGTTATCTACTCTAGCAGTTCCAGCGCAATTTCAAAAAATTTCAACATTGAAAAATCACAACTTTATGAAAAAATCAATCGAGCTGTAAATTTAAGTTCTATTATTCCATGAAAATCGATAAAAGAAGTTCAGAAAAATGCCAGTGAATACATTCAGTAAATGAATATTAAACTAATCAAAATTTTATGATTTTTCTCCCTGAATTGAGTTCAATGTTGGTCTTCCGAAAACGAAATATAAATTCAATTTTAACAGTGTTCTGGGAAATTGAATGAGAATGATGTCAGTTTCTTCCCATCTGAAATTTTTTGTCCATTCATTTGAAAAAAGTGCATTTTTTCATAAAACTTTACCTTAAATTCGACACATCACTATTGGACGATGCGAATAAACAGTCTTCTCAGCCTTTTGAAATTTTATGTATAGTGTCAAAGTTTAAAAATCAGAAACGCGATTTTTTTTTGAAACATGAAGTAATTTTTTCTGTCGTATACAATTTCAATATGAATTGTACAAATTACCTGCGATCCTCATTAACTCACGGCAATGCTGCAATATTTGATCTAGTTATTGTTGCTGAGCACGACCCGGCAAATTCACCGTGCACCCCCGGATCAAAATTCAACTACTATTGCAATCAATGCGCGTGCGATGCCGATGGAAAAGGAGCCGCTTGCACGAGGATGGCTTGTTATCCCGGTCTTTTTAACGAGGATGGAACCATGAACAAAGTTGAGACCGGCACCATGAACACTGAGGATTTCCCTGCACGTATGTATCCCTCGATCTAGTGAAAGCGTTCCTATGAACGCGATCTGATGCATTTGACAATAGCATCATGTGTAATCTAATCTAATTCGACCATTTCGTGTTCCAGTGCCGAAAGATATGTCATGCGTTGCTGGACAAATGTACAAGAAAGATTGCAACACATGCCGGTGTATTAGAGATGATGTTCCCATTTGTACTTTGATGGCTTGTGTGAATGCACCAGATTAATAAGAACTGATCAATTTTTTTTTCGACAGTGCTCTTGGTTGTGAAAGTCAATGTATAATCCCTGTGTTGAATAAATAGAACTCTGATGTTGTTTCTTGTATTTAATGCGGTCTCCATTTCCTTTTACCGACATATCCGTTTGGCCTCATTAAAATTACGGGTATGAAAAAATTTAATAGAAAAGCAAAAATTACTCGCTTTAAATTTTCCAAGAGAAGAAAAATAAAAGGACGTGAAATGAAAAACGTTGGAAATATGGAAGAACAATACGATAATCCAGATTGGGAAATTATATTTTTTAATTCATCACTTAACTCATTAAAATGAGAGGAAACAGAGAAAAAGGCTGATAGCACCGGAAATATTGCTTTTTAGGCTCCGTCCACGTGTATCTGCACTGAATGTGGCAATTGTAATTATCATAATCAATTACAACTGGATCATATTTCATATCCACTCATTGGTTTGTACTCACTTAATTACTTTGAATCCACATGCTGAATCTTATCGGAATTTTTCCAATAACAGCTGCTCTTGCCGAATCTACGATTGGTCACTTCGTAGCAGGTCCCTCTTTATGAATATAACCGCGCACTTCGTTCGCGAAATTAATCACAAGATTGTCTTGCATTATTCAACACTACGAGAAAACAATCTCCAGGATGCTAAAACTTCTTATTCTTGCTTTCGTCATCGCGGGTAAGTAGATGGAATGCTGAATTATGCAGTATCCTTCTAATAAAATATCTAATCAAAAAACACCTATAATTACAAAAATATCAATTTCTATAAGTTTATCGGGCAGTCCCACCGAAATTTCAAGGAAATTTCGTCATCGAAAATTCGAAATTTCGGGGAAAAATCAGTCGAAGCTGTAAATTTCAGTTCAATTATTCCATAGTAATTGATAAAAATCAAGAACACTGGGACAAATATATTCTTCAATTTTCAAATATTGTCCAATATATTCTCAAATTTTTCGTGACAGGTGAAAATATGAAAAAAATTCTGCAGGAAAACTTTCCTGATGCACTCATCCATCGATTTTCATTAATTGTCGGAAAACTCTTGTTGATCCGAGAAAAAAAAATTGTTTCCGAAATTATTTGACCTTCTATTACTATTTTGGTACAGCTGTTACTGCTGCATTCGGCGAAGACGAAAACTCCCCACCCGTCGATTACGACTGTCAAAATGGAACATTTTTCCGGTGGTATTGCAACCGTTGCATATGCACCGGACTGCCAGACGAGAATTTTGTTTGCACTAAAGACCACTGCAAACCTGGAAATTACAACCGAGATGGAACCCCAGCCCGATTCTAAGAGATGATCCAATCTTTGGCTCATTGTCAGACATCAGAGTGTAAATCTGCTGAAGAGTCCATATTTATACAGATGAAATCATGATTACATATTGATATTAATAAATAAATGAAGTATAACTATAGAACTGATTCGTTCATTAGATCAGAAAAAAAGTTGAGAAAAAATGACTGAAAAAGTCAAGTGATCGTGGAGCAAAATTCCGTTTTGTGTCTTTTAACCCTTCAGAACTCGCGCTCAGCCACCGACCTTCGTTACTCGCGTGGTGAGCGCTGCGCCGCCCGTGCTTTTAGTAACGCAGCGTTGTCACGTTCATAGGTACGCGCTGAGCGTGCGGCGAGCGGGAAACAGCAACAGCGGAATTGAAAATTTTACATCCTTCGTTACTCGCACTGGGCGGCACGGCGCCGCTTTTGCGTATGAGCCTCAACAATTTATTATTTTTCGTAGCCTTGATGGATTTTCAGCGGATAAGAACCTTGCTAATCCGTTCTAAATGATTCAAGCTAGGCATTCTAATTTTTTCAATTTTTTGAAAGCTCAATTTTGCAAGAGGCAAGCGAAAATTTGAAAAAGGCGGCGCGGCGCTTATAGCGCGAGTTCTGAAGGGTTAAACTCTATATCGCGGGGGAAAATGACAGTCACTTTCACATCCCTAATCACAACCAAGAATCCCTCAAAATGGGAAATACATTCCTAAAAATTACTGATCGATTCTTGAAAATCAATTGCATGTCCTTGAAAATGAAACTATTTTTCTCTGCGTTAGATGGGTCAAAATTCAGGATTTCTTTTGTACACAAATTTAGGTTTTTTACTCATTATTACAGATTTTTCAAAATACATTAGCGTCCGGTCAAATGTCCGACAAGGAAATTTCCACGCAATCAAGTTTACGAGTAAGTGTGTCCTAATGTATCCAGCGGTTAATGAAATATTTACATAAATTATGGATTGAGCTTCCTAATCTATTTCGAAATTTATGAGACGTGTAGAACATGAACACGTTGCGCAAGTTATTACTCGAATTATCACACAATGTTTTATGTTTGCTCATTTAGAAACAGTACATTAGCCGTTTCGAATTCGTGTGTATCAACTTCAATAGTCATGCGGACATCAACAGATGTGGCTACGACAGAAATTCTGATTGGTCGCTCCATATTTGACTAGCTCAAAATCGTGGATATATAACTGTGGGATTTTTGTCGAAAAACTAGTACTAAAATAGTTCTGAGTCACTCAGCAATTTCAGAGAGAAATCAACAGAAGCTAAAGATGATCTTCAAAGGCCTTCTTCTTGCATTCGTCATTACGGGTAAGTGTAATAAAATATTACATTGAACACAGAGAAAAAACATTTTTTATTTTCTAGAACATGTCACACATTTTCACGAACATGTCTCTGATTTCCTGGAAATGAGTAACATTTTCGTAGAAATTAGGGATGGATCCTTGACAATCAGTGGCATGTCCCTGAAAATCGAAATGTTTTTTTCTCTGTGAGAAAAAACAAACAATAACTTCTGCATGTTCAATCCTAGTCGTTGTCGCTGCACAGAAAAAAAGCATAAGCTCCATTCCTACCGATTATCCTTGTGAACCGGGAGAGTCCTTCAAGTGGTACTGCAACGTCTGCAGATGTGAGAAAGTACTTGGACAATTCTCTTGCACCAGAATGTACTGCAGACCCGGAGAGTACAACCCAGATGGAACTCGAGTCGAGCAATAATTGATCGTTCAATCCTGAGCTTACACAGAGTGAAGATCAATTAATATTAATACATTTTTCGTGTACAGTCGGGTAATAAAGTTCATGAACAAAACACATAGGATGCAAGTGCAGGCTGTTCACGAACTTAAGTCCGCGACTGTACATAACTGTACTTATTCATTCTTCCGATCTACATCCCTGAATAGATCAAAATAGATAAATAAAACAAACTATAAAATTACTATAAAATGACTATAAAAATATGAAATGAAATCAACAATTTATTAATTCAAAGAAAAGATTATTACGTCTTAATAAATTCGTTTTTTACTTCGTCGAAACATCTAATTTATTCAAACGAAGTTGATTTTATTTACGTAAACCATTTCTCTGGGTGTTTGCATGTACACAAAGCTTGTTTATTCTCATGAAATTATTGCAACCGTTGCGGATTTACTGACCTACTCGAGAAATTTGCTTGCGTCAGAATAAGCAGGATGGAATTTCACTGGAGACATAACAATCTAATTTCTTCTTCGATCGATTGAAAACAGAACAGCTATTTAATATTAATGGAAGTGGAATCATTACGTTGAAGAATAGAATTATAGCAATTTAATAGTGTTTGTTTCTTGATGTCAATGAAGCCGTTATCACACTATATTTAGTTCATAATTTACCTTCCTTATCATGTGCCCTTGTCTCCCTTCCACAAGTTACACATTGACATGACCACTTACACCTGTTTTCTATTAACCGTCAGGGAGGAGAGACAGTTATTGTTCCCCTAAAATCGAATGTGGAAATTTCATCACTTCTTTATTTATTTTCACTGTTAGAAAAAAAATGAAATTTCAGACTGAAATTTCTTCCCCCTGGATTTTTTCAGGGGGAAAGTCGACTTTCGGCAAAATCGAATTTTTTCGCCGAATGAACGTTGATTCCGATGATTTAAGCGATGGGCTATCCAGAATTCTCAAAAGTATTTGGAAAAAGTAAAAAATAAAAATTTTTTTTTTCTTTACCCGGGCCCAAGTGTCAGATCTTCGATTTTTTTAGGGAGAAAGGCGGTCAATGGGTCACAAGGGTCACGAGGGCCAAAGTGTCAGATCTTGGATTTTTCCAGGGGGAAAGTCGACTTTCGCCAAAATTGAATTTTTTAGCCGGGTGAACGTTGATTCCAACTATTTAAGCGACGGGCTATTCAGAACTCTCAAAAGTATGTGGAAAAAGTGAAAACTGAAAAAGTTTTTTTTTCAGATTTTCAAAGGGTCAGATTTTCCGTTTTTCCAGGGGGAAAGTCGACTTTCGCCAAAATCGAATTTTTTAGCCGGATGAACGTTGATTCCAACTATTTAAGCGACGGGCTATTCAGAACTCTCAAAAATATGTGGAAAAAGTGAAAACTGAAAAAGTTTTTTTTTCAGATTTTCAAAGGGTCATATTTTCCGTTTTTCCAGTGGGAATGTTGACTTTCGCCAAAATCGAATTTTTTAGCCAGGTGAACGTTGATTCTGTATCTATTAGCGATTCTGATGCTAATAAAACACTCGGAGACCCCAGAAATGTCGAAATAATTTTTTTTTTCATCTGGGGCCAAAGTGTCATATCGAAAATACGACGTGTCAGTGTAAACCCCACATTCAAAAAACCTCTCTGACACCCGCAGTCCTGCAAATCTCTCCGTCACCCACCGAGTCCACCCCCCAGTTCCCCAACTCCCCGCGACGTCGCCCCAATCGGCACCCGCAGCGCCGCCGCACGTCCCCCTCGTGCCCTAAAAATTCGAATTCCAAGTTTCTCGCATGACGCTAACGGTTTGCGATGCTCCAGATCGTCGATTGTGTTGACTCCCCGTGTTCACCAAAAAATCCGACGAACAAAAGTGAAAACCAACTCCACCCATCATCGCTCACCTCCACCAACTCGACGTAAAGCTCTCCACGTAAGTAACACCTGATTACGTTCGACAAAAACCTCCAATCCCCACAACACAGCTAACCAACAAACCCCCAACGCCTGCCCCCAAGCTGTCACAACTGCAGCCCCAAAACTCATAGAGAAAAAAAGTTTCTGGTCTCCAGTTACAATCTCTGAATTACAGTAGAGTCCTACATTTCAGTGACATTTTCACTTATTCTAAGAGAACTTTATCTGAGAATCAGGGGAGGAGTTCTACTTCTCCGGAGTTTTTACTGAAATCCAATAATTATACCCACGTTACTTAAATCGGTAAACATTTCCTCTTATTTCAAGGCACTTTGGTTCTAGAATCCAGTACTTAGATTTCTTAACTTAACATCTCAAATTATCTTCGTTAATTAAGAAGAATTTTTGTAGAAAAAGTCACAACAGAATATGCGATATAGAAAAATCAACCCCTTTAGATTTTTGTCTGTACACAAATATCTGTTCAGTAGAATTCCAATAGACCAACAGAATTTCTTAAAGAAAGCGTTAGCTTTTCTATCAAATTTTTTTACACGTGAGATTAACAAATAAATAAATATCGATTTCATCTTCATCTCCTCTGTTATATAGAGAGATCAACACCTATAGTCCTTTTTCTGTAGAAAAATATCTATTCAAAAACCCCGTTCGATATTTTTTTACAGAACTCATACAAAGAACAAACCGAATTTTCCAGTAGAATACCAACAGAAATTCAATAGAATTTCTTAAAGAAAGCGTTGGGTTTTCCATCAATTTTTTTCATACATGACATTTAAAAAAATATCGATTTCACCCCAACCTCTGAACCTCACAACCGATTGATTTCAGCGACTGCATCAGAATGGTACTAAACAAACGTGACCTGGAGAAGGCCTTCTCCCCAGGAAAGGCCCGACGATTCGGCAAACGTCGTTCGGGAGCCCAATTCAAGCCCAGCACAAGTGGCAGTACAACGAGATCAGTAACAAGTGACAACGAGGGTGGAACCAGCATCAAAGTAATCGTGAGAGTTCGTCCCCCCAATGAGCGAGAGTCCCAGGACAACCACAGGACCGTGATCAAAGTCGTTGACGAAAAGATGCTGATATTCGATCCAAAAGTCGAGGAGAACCCCTTCTTCTACAGGGGCGTGGCCCAAAAGGGTCGAGATCTCCTGAAAAAACAGAACAAAGAGCTCCAGTTCATCTTCGACCACGTCTTCGACATGACCTGTTCGAACGAGCAAGTATTCGATGGCACAACGAGAGAGATAATCTCCGATTTACTAGAGGGCTACAACTGCTCGGTCTTCGCTTACGGAGCCACTGGAGCTGGAAAGACCCACACAATGCTGGGAAAGGAGGGCGACCCTGGCATAACTTACAGAACAATGGCAGAGCTATTCAGGCAGATAGAGGGACAAAGAGAGAACCGAAATTTCACTCTTGGCGTGACATACTTGGAGATTTACAATGAAAACGTTCAGGATCTCCTCCACAAGTCTGGGCCCCTGGCGCTTCGAGAAGACGGTCGTGCTGGGGTGATCGTGGCCAATCTGAAGATCATTCCCATCGCCAGTGCTGACGAACTCCTCCAGCTTCTGGCGCGTGGAAACAAGAACCGAACTCAGCACCCAACTGACGCTAATCAGGAGAGCAGTCGAAGTCACGCTGTGTTCCAGGTGTACGTCAACATGGCGAGCAAGTTGGATGGACAGGTGAAGCAGGTGAAGCTCTCGATGATAGATCTAGCTGGATCGGAGAGGGCCTCTGCCACTGGCTGCAAGGGGGCCAGATTCAAAGAGGGAGCCAATATCAATAAATCACTGTTGGCTCTTGGTAATTGCATAAACAATCTTGCTGATGGTGTCAAGCACATTCCTTACAGAGACTCCAAGCTCACTCGTCTGTTGAAGGACTCGTTGGGGGGAAATTGTCGTACTGTCATGATTGCTAATATTGGCCCCTCCAGTATGAGCTATGAGGACACTTACAATACTTTGAGGTACGCCAATCGAGCCAAGAAGATCAAGACACATATCAAGAAGAACATAATCTCTTGTGAGATGCATGTGACGAGTTATATTAAACTTGTGGACGAGCAAAAGAAGGAGATCAATCTGTTGAAGGAAAAATTGTTGGCCCTGGAGAGCAAGAGTATGGCATCAAGCTCGTCACCAGAGCCCTCGGAACTCAGTGAAGAGGCCCAGAGGGAGATAAAAGAGATGAATGACAGATTGAATGACCTTTACGAGCAGAAGAAATCACTCAACGAGAAGGTTCTCTCCCTCCAGAGTGCTGATAAAATCCTCTGCTCCAGAATTCAGTACAAAATTGCTGCTGACAAACGTCTCCAGAATCTCACAGCAGCTCTGGATCTCGTTGCTGAGGAGCAGAATGCCAGTGGTAAATCCAGGGTCAACAAGTCCCTTCTGCACTTCAAGAGACAACGAGAGGTCGTTAAGATCCAGATGGAGCAGGTGTGGAGTGAGCTGCAGTCAGTGGAACGAGAGCTCGACGCTCTTAATGACGAGATCAGTAAGAAGGGGCTCACTGACAAATTGAGGGATAACTGTGCTGTCAGAATGATGGAGATCAAGTCCTGCAGGATTCAGCAGCAGTACGAGCACGCCAGGAAGATCTGCAGTCTTCAGCAGTGCGAGATGGAGTCGAGTGACACGATATTGAAGACAATGAGTGGCATTCTGCAGACATACTATGGAACAATGTGTGGCTACAACATCATGACGGATAAAATGAAGACTGAGTACAAACAGCTTGTTAAGTCGTTGGAGGGAGTGAGGAATATCAAGTGGGCTGATGCTGATGAACACAGTCCTCACGAGGATCTGTACAACCGTACTGGTCTGACACTGGAGGAGCTGATGGACCCCTTGAACAATGAAATGCCAATTCACAATGCTCTGTACCTGGAGGACGAGCCACCAGCCCCTGCGAGTAAATTGAACACCACTTTCGATGGATCTACGAGTAACATGTGCTCACCCATTGTTGAGAGTAATCTTAATTCCACGATAACTGTAGATTCTCCAGTGAGTGATGAACCAGAATGTGAGAGGGATTTGGCAAATGGAGAGGAGATCAAAGCAAGTCAGTTAAATAATACATTCAATTTGATGGAGAATAAAGCGAAAAAACGCATTCTAGCTGATAAGAATCATACGACTAGTAGAACGCCGAATAAAGTCAGGAAAGTATCGCCGAAGAACAGGGTTGTTTCGGCACAACAGACCAATCACAATTTTACGGGAAAGGAGAATAAGGGGAGTGGGAAACCTGTTAGTGTTATGAGTGCTAAGAGCGTTGCTATTTTGAATAAGTTGAAGAGTGACAGGCCCAAACTGCTGACGCAAATATCTTCGGCACCTTACGAGGGGGGGAATAATGAGCACGGGGGACTGAAGGCCATTAGGAACAGGGAGCGGAGGGGGCTGGTCAATTCCCATCCCTATCAGAAGAATCATATAAAACAGAAGTAAGTTTTTCAGGAATATTCCACTGCTTTTGGGGATTATGGGAAGCTTTAATGGACTTTGAGACTATAAAATGGTATTGTTGGGGGTTTTAATGCGACAAATGGTGAGAATTATCGATTGAATTGATCTGTTATCAATATAGCTGGGAATGATTGATTCAATTATGAATTGCCGATGTTTTTTAAATATTAAAAGTATTGAAACTCATTCTTTCGCTAAAACTGGTCTATTAAAATACCCTCAATGTTTTCTAGATGGAAAAACCGAGACCGAGACATTACAAAAGACATTGAGACAACTAGAAAACTAACGAATAGAGATTCGTAGAAATTTTTTTTTAAATATAAATTATGACTGAAAATTGTGGGCTTTCATGAATGAAATAGACTTTGAAGTGAATTTTGGTACATTTTAATGCAAGATTCGGTGAAAATTATCAATTGAACTGTCAAAAATGCAAATTAAGTCTTTTCCCTCGCAGGAACTGTACTACCAATGTTTTCTGTATTGAAAATCCACGACATTGCCGGGAATATTCAGAATTAACGATTATTAACCATGGGAAATTGATGAAATATATTCACATCTGTAGAAATATGACTGAGCATTGTAGATTTATTTCTCTACAGTAAGTTCCCCCATGAACAACGCGTAAAATATCACATAGCACGCAGAACTGGTTACCCACCTAATAAACAACCGTAATGACTTAATTAATAACCCCTGGAATGTCGTGTCACAGGTTACCATCGGCAGCGCCGTCGTCCCGTGTACCCTGGTAGGGTTAATATTCCAGAAAAACGAGAAAAATATCCAAATCCCTGTGTGTTTAATACAGCACCATTTACTCTGCACCTTGAGTGATAAGAGGAATTATTTTAATGTACACAGCCCTTGCGTAATCTCGAAAGAACCCATGGCAATTCTTTCCTCATTACATGTCGTTTCAGAAGTGTCTGAGACTCTACTGCCAATTTTGTTTCTCTCTAATTAATGTTAATTTTAATGACTGAATAAATGTAGATTTTTTAAAATTATTATCTAGACGCCAATGCTCCTCTCACTGAGTTGTACTCGAAGTTTGTTTGACTTTTGACTTTTATATGAGATTGCTGATAGATTCTGGGAGTGATGATAACGTAACACTTGATGGTATAAGTTTTAAATTCAATATGAATAATTATTTGAGAAGAGCCTTACAATTTTCGTAAATAAAACGTTTATATATATTATTGTTATCGATTCTCACCGTGCGCTAAGGCGAGCAATATGACAATACATTTTCTATATATAATACTTGTAATCGCACAAATGTGTAATGTTTGTAACAGTCAAATAAAGTTTTTTACGTAAAAACTCTGAATCAACTTCTTTTACGCCACATTGAGGATGTAATTTCGTAAATCAATATATAGAATGAGGAAAAAATATCGTTCACGATTCTGCACCGGGAGAAGAGGAAATTTTAATGAGTTACAGTTTTTCGACTGCAGAGAATACTTTTCTGAATATTAGCGAGTCGAAAATTGATCCATTTAGAAATAGGAAAATACGTGAATGATGAGATGATTCAATGAATGATGAATTTTCAAAAGCTGGAAAATTTCCCATCCTCTGGAAAGATAGATCGGTTGATCGTAAAACTGATCTAATGCAGAAAAATTTGGTAATACTTTGTTCAAGTTTTGTGTAAGAGCATAAAAATATCTCAAGTAGTTGCTTGCTTCTTTATTCAATCATAAATTATGAATTGTTACGAAAAATGAGGAACAAACTCCCTAATTCTACTGTAATATACGAAATAAAACTCAGCCAAGTCTCTGCCTGTGTAAAAAGAACTAAAAATTATGTTCAAATGCATGTTGACCGACCAGACTGGATTTTTAACTCAATTGAATGGACTCACCACCATTTCTGGACGACAAAGAATAAATTAGTAATAAATTTTCAAACTAACGATGACGAAAAATTGGAAAAAGCAGTCCATGATCATAAAACGGGGATGGATGCGAATAAATGAATAAATAAATAAATGAATGAATGAACAACTAACAATGATGAACAATAGAAATCCGATAGAACTTCCCACCGAATTCGATAAGATTTTCTACTAAATTTTTTCGTGCGCGATCAATAAATAAAAAAATCCAGATAATCAGTTTTGCTTCATTACGACGCAACATTGAGGATATCATTTTACAAATCAACATTTCACATAACGAAAAGAATATAATCTTCACTGCTGTGATTCTGGGAAGTCCCAATGGCTATAAAATATAAATGTCAGGCTCCGAACAAAGAGGAGCATAAGGAAAACCTCGAGAAAATTATGACAAGCTGTAAATATGCATGTCGTCCAATGATAACAACTGACTCAGAGTAGTAGAAATCAAGGAAAATACCTAAGGAAAAATATTGGCAATTTCAAACATGCGGGTTCAGTGATGCGGATACACTCATCGAATGAATCCCACCCACATATGTGCAGTGGGTATATAATCGCAGGCTCTGACTTTTGATCATCAGTTACTGAAAGTTTCTCTGTGAAGATTTGTCGACTAATCCCGTCGAAGAAGCAACCATGATGTGCAAAGTTTTGATTCTGGCTCTGGCTATCATGGGTGAGTGGAAGGATTCAATAGCGAAGTCAAACGGTTCAAGTTTCATGGGTTCGACTTAGATCTTAGCTGAGTTTTCGAAGAATATCTTCGAATCTATGGGAGATAGCGAAATTTTCATTATAACATTTTTTGTAGCTCTTGATTCGCTCCACAAAAAAGGTTCTAACAAAAATTTTGATATTTGCCTACAATTCCGAGATATTTATTGAAAACTGATTGCTAGTCAAAATAAACCGCTTTTTCATTTCGCGATTGCATTTTTCTTTTGGGTAATTGATTTATTGATGGATTAATTAATTAATCGGGTGATTTTGGGTAGCTGTCGCTGCTAGGCCTCAGCACGGAGGCCAGCCCGGAAGTCTCCCGAAGGAGACTGTTGTCAACGGAGTGACTTATCCAGAGCGTGAGTAAAACTTAATTCCCTTCGAGTGCACGAAGAAAAATTGTATAGGATTTTCCGTATGAATTCACTGAATGAGGAAGTCTTGAAATTTAAATTTTCTGCAGAAAAAATACATGAAGGTTTTTTTTATAAAAATTGTACAGCTTTTTTTACAGAATTTCTTCTATAGGAATTTTTTCATGATATGAAAATTCAAACAATTTAGGATCTCCTACAGGAATTTTCTCAACATAAATTTCCTCGACTAATTAATGAATAAATTCCGGAATTTCGTAATGACACTCCATTAGAAATCTAGAAATTCAGATATTCCGCAGAAAAAGTTGTGTGAATGTTTTTTATAGAATAGTTCCTCCGCGTAAAAAAAATGTATAACGTTTTTTTGTAAAATTTCTATGAGAATTTTTTTATATGAAAATTGAATGGAAAGAACTAGACACACGTATGCTACTTCCACAAAGAACGAACAATTTACAAGTTCTAGTGATTGAAAATTTCTAAAGGTTCTCACAGTAATTTCCTCAAGAAATCCACCCCTTTTTCTAAAACTCAAAATTACATTTTCAGTCCCACTGGACGGCTCAGACTGCCAAGTCGGGGTGACTTACCACCACTTTGGCAATCTCTGCGAGTGTAAACCGGAGCACGAAGTCTCCTGCAGACGCATCAGGAGAAACTAAAAATCTGAAAAACTCACCATACGATATCACCAACTCAATCAGCTAATTCCCAAGCATTCCCCGACACCAACGAAGATATTACCACTAAACGTTCACCTAACAGTGATGAATTGTTCGAAAACTTGAATCGCGACTCGAAATAAAAGCATTAAAAAATCTGAATAACGTCTGCAAACAATTATTTGAAGTTCTCCAACCCTTCCCTATCCACCGAGCGAGCAACCACTGTCCCACACCTCCGCAAGATGTCTCCCTCCCTCATTAAACCCAAATCCATAATCCTCCTGTCACCGCCGTGCACCTTTCTCCAGTCCGTGCAATCGTCGACATTCCAGTGTCTTTATTTTTCCCGTTAAGAAATAACCCAATAAAAAAATGTGAAAAAACCCAATGTATCGTGACTCTATGAATAAAGCCCCGTGATATCAAAACGTGACTATCCCCGAGAATTAACAAGTGCCTGTGCTATTTACACTGTGTACCATTAACCAAGGATAAATCCGCAAAAAAAGCATAACTGAATCCGTAATAAACCATTTATGCGATTGCAAAATGGCACGTACGGACAGCTGTCGTGCCGGAGCGCGTTGTACGCACTATTACGTACTTAAGACACGAGGAAAGTAGCGATTTATTCCGGAAAATACGTGAAATAAGGGGCTTGTAGACCGCTAAAACCGCACCCAGAAAATAACGGAGACGACGGAGTCTGTTAATGCGTAAAAATTGTCAGAAGTAAATAGACGCTCGAGGGATTACGTCCAAGTGTCCACTCCGGGGAAATAAAAAAAATTGTTCTTAGTATTTCAAAGGCTCCAGTGGGCGGTGAATTACATTCCAATTTGCAACAATCTGAATTTGCATTACTTGCGATGTGTGCTGTGACACTTGGGAGAGCCTCCGGAGGAGTGATAGGAACCCCAGTGAACAGACACTTGTGAATTTTTATGAGATTGACAGGGGAGCTGAGAAAAAAGCTGATTAGACCTTTTACCTGGATTGTAATTGCTCCATCGGGGGTTAATTGGTGAGTATTCAGCCGATGTTTTTTTTGTCACGATTCACCTTCGTAATGCATACTGTCATATCCGGATTTATTGGAGGGATAATTTATTCATTCCTCTTTCTTTGATGTCGTTCGGGGATTGGGGATCTGATGGCCAGAGGGAATGGAGAATAATTTGTATGGAGATTGAGGTGGAGTGGACGGGTCGAGAGGAATTTTATGAGGATTTTAGAGGAGTTTTTCGAGGGTTATTGATCGGTTTGTAAACACGTATGTGCGGCATTTATCGGTGGGTTAATGAACTGATGTGTATGCTGATCGGGGAATTTATCAGGCGATATTTCGGCGGATGAAGGTTCGAGAATTTTTAGAAATAATGGCCTGGAAGAAGTCTTACTTTCACACTGAGAAAAAAAATTTATTCTGCTGATAATTGTTCCCCTGAAGAGATCCTTTGTCGTGTTGAGTCAATTTACTTGTGGCAAAAAGGAAAGTTTCCTCCAGAACATGATAATTTTTACAGTTGTAATTGCTCTCGCGAGAGATTTATATGCCTTTCGGGTAAATTCATTCGTTCTGCAGAGAATTATGTGAGGCTCCGGTTTTATCAAGTGAATGGTATTGAGAACAAATGATAATTTCAAGAGGAAACCACAATTTTCTTACCGAAATTTTTTTTTCTCGGGAAAGAAAACACCTCCAAATGTATTTACCTAATTAGAAAAAAAATTCGATTTCCCATTTTCAATTGTGAAAATGAATAAAACCTAATAAAAAAAAATGAAGAAATTGAGGCTTGTGTGCACAGGACATTTAAAGAATCATTTTGTGAATATCAAGAGTCTCTAAAGAGCATTACACATGAGGCATTGGAATAATCAACGTCCACGTTAATTTAATCGAGAATCCAGTATTACAGATTTTCACATTCTAGACATTAAAAAAGTCATTGTTGTAACTGAATGCATAATGAGGAACGAGGTACATAGTGGTTTCATCTGATTAGACATTGACCCAATTGTTGAAATCCCACGCGGGTAGTAGACGTGTGTTTATTGTTGCTGATCGATTTCTCTTGTGACAATTTTCGTAATTGTACTTCATCGCAAAATGTGTGATGAATCGAAGAATTAAAACACTTGAACAAATTCCATTTTTAACAGAAAATCTTTTAATTCTGGAGTAACGAATAAGTTACGTTTTTTCGATTAATTGATGAATAAATAAATGTGGAAATACTCTTAGAAATTCCGTTCTCATCTCCAACTCTACTAATGAATGATACCAAAACATCTTTTTATTTCAATAAAATACAGACATGAAATTCAAATTTAAGCTGTTATGTATCGTAAATCCTCGAATAAGAAATGAATTAATTTTTTTCGGGTGATGAATAGATTGATTTTCGCAAAAAAATATTTTATTACGTCGCTCAGTGTTATCAACCCATGATATCAAAACATTTTTTTATGTCCAGTAAAATCAATATGTGAAATTTCAACTTCTGCTATTGCGTGCATCACAAATCCTCGAGTAACGAACGAATAAATTTTTTCCTAGCAATTGATGAATATATCCGACAAATTTCGTAGTTATTTTTCATTGTGAAATATGAAATAAATCGAAAAATGTTGATCTACTTGTAGAAATTCCGTTCTTATCTCTAATTCTACTACTAAGTGATACCGGAACATTTTTTTATTTCAATCAAATCGAGATATGAAATTTAAATTTGAACTGTTATGCATGATAAATCCTCGAATAACAAATGAATCAATTTTTTTCGATTGATGAATAGATTAATTTTCGCAAAAAACTCTAATTATATTTGATTACTAAATACACATGAGTTTTTCTGAACGTTCGACACACGCAATACTGAACGAGTTATTGATTTCTCAGTTTAACATTACCAGAATCATAACAAATCTTTGAGTAACAAATGAATATATTTTTTCTCATTAATTGATGCATGTATCAGAGAAATTTCGTAATTATACTCCATTGTGACATACAAGATAAATCGAAGAATGTTAAATGTTAAACTTGTAGAAATTCCGTTCTTATCTCTAATTCTACTACTAAATGATACCGGAACATTTTTTTATTTCAATCAAATCAAGATATGAAATTCAAATTCGAGCTATTACGCACCATAAATCATCGAATAAGAAATGAATAAATTTTTTCGACCACTGAATAGATTAATTTTCGGAAAAAAAATTGTAGTTGTATTTAATCACCAAATACACCGAAGTTTTTTCCGAACTTTCTCCACACGTGATAACGAACGAATTATTCATTCCTCTGTTCACTATTATCCCCATCACCACAAAGCATTTTTTTTATTTCCAGAAAAATCAAGATGTGAAATTTAAACGTCTGCTGTACATCAAAACCCAGCGATATCAAAGAAACTAAATCCCCAAGACAAAAATAAACCCCAAACAATCATGAAACTTGTGCCAGCAATTTATCTCGGATCGACGGCGATAGACCGTCGATTCAGCAGTCCAATGTTACCCTGGATCACAAAAGAAATCAAGAGAAGGAGTAATCACCAGCGAGTAAGTTTTTCCTCATTTTTTATTAAAATCAATTTATTCAATTCCATTGCATAATGCGTAAACAGAATTCATCGTTCATTTTTTCCTCAAACTTATGCATAATTGATGGATTTATTAACTTCACTCTAAAAGACATTAAAGGTCATAACAGAAGTAAGTGAATATCGCTGTAAATACCACGAATGGTTTTCTTGCGTGTGGCCCTTACATTTTTTACTGTCCAAATGCCCTATGTCTGCGTGTAAACTCTAATAGGGAGTATGCATGAAGGAGGGGATGTTTTTTCTTTTTTTTTTCATCAGAAAAGTCCCCTCGACTGGAACTCCCATGAACTCCCTATTTCCACATTCCACACGCTTCTATTTTCCCCCTTACGTGAACCTGTATTCATGCTGTTGCAATCAACTAGATGGTATTAATCACTCGCGCACTGAATCACATGGAGAGTCATTTCAAATATTTTTATCACACGATTCTGTAATAAAATGTAATGAAAAGTAAAAAAATTGTTATTGACAGGGGGGAAAAATTGTTGGAGAATTTTTCCACTCGCGTTATGCAAGTCCCGCACTCAGGGATTTCCGGATGATTGTTTTCGACTTTCGCAGGTTGCAACAATGGTGATATGATACTTGAGAATGCAACAGCACTGTCGCAGACATCATTTTGCTACAAAGGGGATAAAAATACATTTCGTGGATTTTAATCGATTTGAGGCTATTCAAGTACTTCAATGGTTTTTTTTAGAAAACACTTAAAATCTCAGTTTCTGAAATTTTATTGACAAATTTAATGATTGGAATGTCTTTCAATGTTCGATTTTTGTCGATTTAGTGGATTTTTCATGCATTTTAATGCATTCCATTAAATTATAAATTTTTAATGAGAAACTCCTTCATTCACATCTATTGCAAATTTGAGAATATATTCATCTGCATTTCCCTGCACTCCATTAATTGCCTTGCAATAATTTAATTGAAATTTGCGTTTTCCATGAATTTTCCGGTAAATTATAAATTTTCAATGCAAAATTCTCCAGTGGAAATCTCGGTGGAGGTCTAACATGATAAAAATTTACAAGTAGTGCACCGGAAAGTTCAGGTAAAAATTGTCAACATTAAAAACCCCGACATTGCGATTATGTCAGCATTCAACAGCAGAATTTTATACACCATTGGATTCCCCGCAAGAAACCCGATTTGTCTGCGCGACAAAAACGATCATTTCCACTCCAAACATGTCCGTCGAAGGACTCTCTCGTTGCCATTTCAATTGCATACACGAGAGACAAGAAAAAATAACAATGAAAAAAAAAACGGCAAAAAATAAATTTCGCAGTAATCTTTTATATTCCGTGTCCTTCACGTCACTTCGTGTTCTCAACAATGTCTCTGTTATTATTGTCGCGTTAATTTATGTGCATCCCATTAATTAAAACAGGAGTTGATTTTCCCAGCAAGTTTTAACGGTTAACAAAATAGTGTTGAGTCTCTGTAAATAGGGGAATTATCTTTTCGCTTATCGCTTTCATTTTGAAAAAGGGAATATGCATTGCAGTCGAGTAGTCGCTAGTCGCATTCACTGCTTATCTGGTTGAAAAAATAATGTACGCAAACGTGGTTTTATGGCATTTGCCCTGATAATGCGCGGGGAACAATACCCGTTCGAAATGAGTGTCACAGGAGTATAACAGACACACCAATGAGAACACAAATACGAAATTTTTCTCATTCCCTCTGAGGGTTTTTGCGAGAGTGGTCCCACTGCGATAACGGAAAATACCTTGAGACTCCTCTGCCAATGGGAAACGGCGATAAGAACTGTCAGAATTTATTTAGGCCGTGACTATTCGCACCATTGCGTGAATCACTCCCGTACACTCCATACACTCCACGCATGCGTGAAGTTTGTGTGTTTCACGCAGCCGAATTTTCATACTGCTGTGCATTTCACGCAGTTGAAGTTTCATACTACTGTGTGTTTCACGCACTTGTATTTTTATACACCTGTGTGTTTCACGTAGTTGCATTTTTATACATCAGGATTGCGTTTTTCCACTTCCTAGGCCTTATAGAACATGAATTGAATTAATTTTTTTTGCATTTTCGTTTTTCGCGATTATCTCGGAAACTATGAGAGATAGAGCCTTAAAACCTATTCCATTCGATTCCTGAGGAAATTTGGGTTCCGTATAGGCAGATGGACGGCTCAGAATTGCGTTTTTCCACTTCCTACACCCTATACAAGATGAATTAAATTAATTTTTTTTGGCATTTTCGTTTTTCGCGATTATCTCGGAAACTATGAGAGATAGAGCCTTAAAACCTATTCCATTCGATTCCTGAGGAAATTTGGGTTCCGTATAGGCAGATGGACGGCTCAGAATTGCGTTTTTCCACTTCCTACACCCTATACAAGATGAATTAAATTAATTTTTTTTGGCATTTTCGTTTTTCGCGATTATCTCGGAAACTATGAGAGATAGAGCCTTAAAACCTATTCCATTCGATTCCTGAGGAAATTTGGGTTCCGTATAGGCAGATGGACGGCTCAGAATTGCGTTTTTCCACTTCCTACACCCTATACAAGATGAATTAAATTAATTTTTTTTGGCATTTTCGTTTTTCGCGATTATCTCGGAAACTATGAGAGATAGAGCCTTAAAACCTATTCCATTCGATTCCTGAGGAAATTTGGGTTCCGTATAGGCAGATGGACGGCTCAGAATTGCGTTTTTCCACTTCCTACACCCTATACAAGATGAATTAAATTAATTTTTTTTGGCATTTTCGTTTTTCGCGATTATCTCGGAAACTATGAGAGATAGAGCCTTAAAACCTATTCCATTCGATTCCTGAGGAAATTTGGGTTCCGTATAGGCAGATGGACGGCTCAGAATTGCGTTTTTCCACTTCCTACACCCTATACAAGATGAATTAAATTAATTTTTTTTGGCATTTTCGTTTTTCGCGATTATCTCGGAAACTATGAGAGATAGAGCCTTAAAACCTATTCCATTCGATTCCTGAGGAAATTTGGGTTCCGTATAGGCAGATGGACGGCTCAGAATTGCGTTTTTCCACTTCCTACACCCTATACAAGATGAATTAAATTAATTTTTTTTGGCATTTTCGTTTTTCGCGATTATCTCGGAAACTATGAGAGATAGAGCCTTAAAACCTATTCCATTCGATTCCTGAGGAAATTTGGGTTCCGTATAGGCAGATGGACGGCTCAGAATTGCGTTTTTCCACTTCCTACACCCTATACAAGATGAATTAAATTAATTTTTTTTGGCATTTTCGTTTTTCGCGATTATCTCGGAAACTATGAGAGATAGAGCCTTAAAACCTATTCCATTCGATTCCTGAGGAAATTTGGGTTCCGTATAGGCAGATGGACGGCTCAGAATTGCGTTTTTCCACTTCCTACACCCTATACAAGATGAATTAAATTAATTTTTTTTGGCATTTTCGTTTTTCGCGATTATCTCGGAAACTATGAGAGATAGAGCCTTAAAACCTATTCCATTCGATTCCTGAGGAAATTTGGGTTCCGTATAGGCAGATGGACGGCTCAGAATTGCGTTTTTCCACTTCCTACACCCTATACAAGATGAATTAAATTAATTTTTTTTGGCATTTTCGTTTTTCGCGATTATCTCGGAAACTATGAGAGATAGAGCCTTAAAACCTATTCCATTCGATTCCTGAGGAAATTTGGGTTCCGTATAGGCAGATGGACGGCTCAGAATTGCGTTTTTCCACTTCCTACACCCTATACAAGATGAATTAAATTAATTTTTTTTGGCATTTTCGTTTTTCGCGATTATCTCGGAAACTATGAGAGATAGAGCCTTAAAACCTATTCCATTCGATTCCTGAGGAAATTTGGGTTCCGTATAGGCAGATGGACGGCTCAGAATTGCGTTTTTCCACTTCCTACACCCTATACAAGATGAATTAAATTAATTTTTTTTGGCATTTTCGTTTTTCGCGATTATCTCGGAAACTATGAGAGATAGAGCCTTAAAACCTATTCCATTCGATTCCTGAGGAAATTTGGGTTCCGTATAGGCAGATGGACGGCTCAGAATTGCGTTTTTCCACTTCCTACACCCTATACAAGATGAATTAAATTAATTTTTTTTGGCATTTTCGTTTTTCGCGATTATCTCGGAAACTATGAGAGATAGAGCCTTAAAACCTATTCCATTCGATTCCTGAGGAAATTTGGGTTCCGTATAGGCAGATGGACGGCTCAGAATTGCGTTTTTCCACTTCCTACACCCTATACAAGATGAATTAAATTAATTTTTTTTGGCATTTTCGTTTTTCGCGATTATCTCGGAAACTATGAGAGATAGAGCCTTAAAACCTATTCCATTCGATTCCTGAGGAAATTTGGGTTCCGTATAGGCAGATGGACGGCTCAGAATTGCGTTTTTCCACTTCCTACACCCTATACAAGATGAATTAAATTAATTTTTTTTGGCATTTTCGTTTTTCGCGATTATCTCGGAAACTATGAGAGATAGAGCCTTAAAACCTATTCCATTCGATTCCTGAGGAAATTTGGGTTCCGTATAGGCAGATGGACGGCTCAGAATTGCGTTTTTCCACTTCCTACACCCTATACAAGATGAATTAAATTAATTTTTTTTGGCATTTTCGTTTTTCGCGATTATCTCGGAAACTATGAGAGATAGAGCCTTAAAACCTATTCCATTCGATTCCTGAGGAAATTTGGGTTCCGTATAGGCAGATGGACGGCTCAGAATTGCGTTTTTCCACTTCCTACACCCTATACAAGATGAATTAAATTAATTTTTTTTGGCATTTTCGTTTTTCGCGATTATCTCGGAAACTATGAGAGATAGAGCCTTAAAACCTATTCCATTCGATTCCTGAGGAAATTTGGGTTCCGTATAGGCAGATGGACGGCTCAGAATTGCGTTTTTCCACTTCCTACACCCTATACAAGATGAATTAAATTAATTTTTTTTTGCACTTTTGTTTTTCGCGATTATCTCGGAAACTATGAGATCCGATCAATTATCCCCTCATGTATAATCGGGGTTTCAATTGAAAACCCGAGTTGAAAACCCGATTTTGTAGCAGCGATGTCAGATAAGATATGAATGTTTTTTTGGGCTCAAATGAAAGAGCGGGTCGAGAAATGGCGTGCTAGGGTCTCTAAACATGACACATGTCTCTGAAGATGATGTCTGTTTTCAATTGAAAAGCAGAGTTGTGACATTGTCTAGGAGGACAATGGGGTCTAGGAGTATGTATAGAACATTGGCGTCTAGGAGTCTCCCCTGGTTCCAAACCATCTTTAGAGGTCCTAGCACACCATTTTTCGACCCGCTCTTTCGTTTGAGCCCAAAAAAACATTCATATCTTGTCTGACATCTCTGCTACAAACTCGGGCCTACAACTCGGGCCTTCAATAAAAGGCCCGAGTTGTAGACCCGAGTTTGTAGCAGAGATGTCAGACAAGATATGAATGTTTTTTTGGGCTCAAACGAAAGAGCGGGTCGAAAAATGGTGTGCTAGGACCTCTAAAGATGGTTTGGAACCAGGGGAGACTCCTAGACGCCAATGTTCTATACATACTCCTAGACCCCATTGTCCTCCTAGACAATGTCACAACTCTGCTTTTCAATTGAAAACAGACATCATCTTCAGAGACATGTGTCATGTTTAGAGGCCCTAGCACGCCATTTCTCGAGCCGCTCTTTCATTTGAGCCCAAAAAAACATTCATATCTTATCTGACATCGCTGCTACAAACTCGGGCCTACAACTCGGGCCTTTAATTGAAGGCCCGAGTTGTAGGCCCGAGTTTGTAGCAGCGATGTCAGACAAGATATGAATGTTTTTTTGGGCTCAAATGAAAGAGCGGGTCGAGAAATGGCGTGCTAGGGCCTCTAAAGATGGTTTTGAACCAGGGGAGACTCCTAGACCCCACTGGACAATGTTGTCACAATTGCGCTTTTCAATTGAAAACAGACATCATCTTTAGAGACAATTGTCATCTTTAAAGACTTCAGCACGCCATTGTTCG